TATTAGTTTCTCATCCCCGCCCACAAGCTTTTTAAGAAAATGGTCTTGTTCACCATTATTGCCAATATTGCCATTTTTGACCATTATTATAAATTTTGAGGTGTCTTCAAAGTGAAATTTGAAAGAAAGACAATTAGAAATGTTCCCAAACCAAATGTTATAGTTAATAAAATACGAAATTTCATACCAAAACTGAACTTTCATACCAAAACTGCCAGTTTCTCCTGCAATTACATACATGCTATCAAATATGCAAATTCAGCTATAAAAGTTCTACCAGAAGTCAGGGGCAGGGAAGAAAAACGTGAGACGACTTTGCTACAAAATTATTTCACATCTGGAGCGCCCATGTTTTTAATATGAAAACATGATTTCAGTTGCAAATTTTGTTCTGTTTTGCAATTCTAAATTACAGGGTGTGGAATTATTCAGAAAGTTGCAGCTGTATAAAACATATACAACGATTCCTGTATTTTCCGGTACGCACTACATAAATGCTTAATGCTTAACACTTTTACAAAATAAATTTTACGGAGAGGAGAAATCCTGCAAATAATGGCATAATGGTAATGGCCCGCCCGCATCAACTTTAGGTGAAGCTCCGGATGAGAAACTAATATACAACAAATAGTGGCCTAACACAAAATCTGCCTAACAAAATTATACCCATGTAACTTTCATATCTTAAAGTATAAATGCTTAGAATGATTTTGAAAGTAGAACAAACTGTTTCGTAACAATACTCATTCTTTGAGAAGTGTTTTCATTGGGTTTTTTTGTGATTATAACTTGCTAATTAATTAGTTTAGTAAAACAATGTCAAGCCGCTTTAAATGGCTGAGATTTAGTCAAACACTCATGAAATCTCAGCAACTTATACATTAGGTACAAACAAGTATTTTGGTGGCTAGATCTTTGATCTACTTTCAGTGAAACCAAATTTACATTGAGATGACTTGTTAGAATTAGTGAATTTTGTTTAATAAAGTGAACTGTTACAAGTACAGTAATTGCATGGTTATAAACTAAAGATGTTGCAGTCAGTGCTCTGTGATTAGATTAACGATTTGGGAAGAGTTGAACTGCTACAAGTGGGTGGTTATAACATGTTGTGGTCAATGTCCTGTGCTTAGGTATAATGATTCGGGAAGACCGGAACTGCTACAATTAAGTGACTGCATGGTTATAATCTACAAGATGTTGTAGTCAGTGTCCCATGTTTAGATATAATGATATGGGAAGACTTGAAGTGCTTCAGGTGAATGATTATAAACTACAGGATGTTGTAGCAATAAGTGTCCAGTGCATACAGTAGATATAATGCTATGGGAAGACTTGAACTACTAAAGATATGTTTAAACTTATAGCCTTATAGCCTAGATTTTGACAGTGTGAACAGACCTTGGCCTAGCCAAGGAATCTGGGCTCACTACAACTGGTCGCCTGGGCTTGTGGAAATGTAAACACTTTTGGCCCTGGTCCTTACAGTATGTCCATGGCAAGGTTAGCGGCCAACCAGTAGACAACGTCACAACACATAAAAATACATAAAATTAATTATAAAATTCTAGGCCAAAGTGAGCCAGTTTTCTGGCCAAGGCTTGTACTGTATAGTGTAAACACAGGATGATACGGGAAGACTTGAACTTCTACCAAATAAATTTACATGTATTTTAATAGCATGATACTTAAGCTGTATATGGAGCTGTAAATTACAAGCTTATATACCATACTGTAGATACATTATTCACAAAGTAAAAGCTTTGAGAACTGCTACAAAATAAATTTACATTAGTATGATACTTTGAGTGGCATTTGCACCCTGATGCACCCTACTTCAGTATATTTTACTCTGTCTAATGCCAGACGACTTTACTCGTCAAGGGGAGAGCGCTGGTGTTTAATGGGTTAAGCTGTATTTGGAGCTATAAATTAGAAGCTTAGATATTCACAAAGCTAAATTATTGGTCTTGTGTATTCTGTAGAACGAGATTTACCGATTTGGGCAATGTTGTAAATGTCTCAATACAAATACAAAAGGTTGTGCCGAAATATTTCTGTAAATGCCGTATTATTCGAAACAATATGAATATATGCGATTCAATTTGACGAATACTTTGATCTTGCTCTATAAATTGCGTTCTATAAACTGAAAAAATCCTCGCAAAAAATCAACCCAAAATATGTAAATGACGTTCACGCGATATGTAAATATTAACATTCGTGTCAATAAACAAAATACACATAAATTTAAATGCTAATTCTACCGGCAGGTACAAAGCGCAGGTTTGCAGGTTGCAGGTTGGAATTTTGCAGGTTGGGAATTTTGCAGGTTGGAATTTTGCAGGTTGGGGATTTTGCAGGTTGGAATTTTGCAGGTTGACAGGAATTTTGCAGGTTGATGATGCAAACTGAAAATTAAACTACTATAAAGTATTCTAGTATAATTTTATTTTGTACTTATTGCAGTCTGACTCCTTGTCGCCGCTTTTGATATCAGCCTATCCTGCTACCATGTTTCTAGCCTCTGCTCATCACCCTTGTGAAAACATTCAAAATGACCAGATTGGCTTGGGTTTTCAGGGGGACGAATGTTTCGATTGTTGCGAGGAGTCTACATGACGTGGTGGCAGTTCAGAAAATGCCTGAATGAGGTGTCTCTCCTCTGCACCCACTTATGAGACCACTCAAGCCCCCAATTACCGTATAATTACTCGAGAATTAGTTAACAACATTCTAGTATAAACGCCGCCACATCATGTAGGCACCTCGCAACAATCAAAACATTTGTCCAGGGGCGTAGGAAGTTTCTAAAAGTTGGGGGGGCAGGCTTTGAGGGGCACTTTCCAAATAAAAAAGGGCATCTAAAAATTTTTTCCCGGAAATGTTGGCGATGGGGGTGGGAAGGTCTCAAAATTTTTTTCCGGACATACCAAAAAAATATTTCCAGATATATCCAATTTTCCTAAATATGAAAAAATTTTTCCAGAAACACAAAAAAAATTTTCGGACATCATATTTTTTCCCAGAATGAAAAAAATATTCCGGAAAATAACATAAATTCAAGTTTCGAAAAGTGCGCTTTGGGCAAAAATCCTTAAAACATTTTTAACACAAAAAAGGGCACTTGCCAAAACTTGGGGGCCTGGCCCCCCCTGTTCCTACGCCCCTGCATTCGTCTCCCTGTAGCTCCAAGCCAATCTGGTCATTTTGGATGTTTTCACGGGGGTGATGGCCACTAGCCTTAGAGCAGAGGCGCCGACAAGGAGTCAGACTGCAATAAATGCACAACTAAATTATACTAGAATACTAAAAAAGTGGTGTAATTTTAAGCTTGCATTATTAACCTGCAAAGTTCCTGGCAACCTGCAAAATTCCAACCTGCAAAATCCCCAACCTGCAAAATTCGCAACCTGCAAAATTCCAACCTGCAACCTGCGTTTTGTACCTGCCGCTAATTTTACTTGTACTGGCCGCATACAATTACAAACATATTCCAAGGATATTTAACTCACCTTTATATCCACAAATACAATTTTTTTTCGCTTTTCAATGTCGCTTTGCTTCTCCAGACAACAACCAAGTCGCACACGTGTACGGAAATGATACTCTTTATACTACCCCCTCTGCGTTTGCAGGCGCCCCGCTACCCCCTGGTTACGTTGGTAGTGATTTTTTTAGTGAGGGGTATACTTCAAAAATCTTGGAAAAATAATTAATTGTTCTCGTGCAAACTTTTTTTTCAATAAAATGTTTCAAGAAATCCACTTGTAATAGTTTATGGTGTTTTTTAAAAAAATTGAACCTTTATAATCTGCAAAAAAGGCAAAATAAGTCGCATTAGAAATTTGCACAAAATAAGGTCCGTTTTGCGTTTGCAAGCTAGTTTTTGATGTGCCTAAGCACATATAACCGCCCTAGCCTGTGAAAAGCCCTTCTTTTAGACAAGAATTAAGGTTGAAATTTTTGAGGTTACACAAGGGCATGTTTTCGGTTACATTAGGGCACATGTGCCCTAATGTAACTCGGCAATTTTGCACAAAAACTAAAATAAAATCAACACGCTTTGCAGTAAAATTCTGAGCTTCAGTGTAGTGGTTCTACGGGTGGAAGCGCATTTGCAACTAAAAAATGGGGTCATTTCAATGAAAATTGAGGAAGTTATTTAACTATTACTTTCAACAAAATTTGCGCAGCGTTTCCGAGCGTTCATTTTAGACAACGAAGTCAAGTTAAGACTATAAATGTTTACGGCATTATATTTCGTCTCATAACTTCTGAACCAAAGTGTATGGAAAGAGCTGGTTATTAGTAGACGTATGCAGTTCATGTCAAACCCAAATCTGTCGAACTCTGGTGAAAATCCACTAAAAAATGAAGGTTTACACGACGAGTGGCCCCAGTGTAACTTCTGGCTTCATTGCACTTAAATTGCACGGAAACTATTTTGCGCAAGGCCCTGCCGCGCGGAACAGGCATAATTCATCATATTTCAAAGCAGTCCCCCAAATATAAAAGGCTAGTCATTTATATAAAAAAATTACAGCTTCCCAGAGTTTTGGTTACACTAGGGCAGTACCGACAATCTAATGAGTGTTTGACTAAATCTCAGTCATTCAAGGTGGCTTGACATTGTGTTAGTAAACTAATATTAGCAAGTTATAATCATAATAAACAAATGAAAACACTTCTCAAAAGCTGACTATTATAACTAAACAGTTTGTTTCACTTCTAAAATCATTCTGAGCATTTATACTCTAATATGTGAAAGTTTGGTACAATTTTGGTAGGCACTTTTTGTGTTAGCATGAGTTTCTCAGCTGAGGTCTTACTTTTCTCTATACCTTTCTCTCTATACTTTTCTCTATACCTTATACTTTCTCCATACCCTATACCTTTCTCTCTATACTTTTCTCTATACCTTATACTTTTCTCTATGAATAACCTCGAATTATTAATTAAGAAGTTAGAAGTACTGGTTATTGAAATTAATATTATAGGTGATTTTAACTTTGATGTAGGTGCTTCTCCCCCTAATGCTCCTACTAAGCATTTCTTGGATCTCTGCAACTTATACCAGTACCATCAACGTATTAAAGAGCCTACTCGAATAACCGAACGCTCTTCAACTACAATTGATTTATTTATTACTAATAATCCAACAATGTATGTGAAATCTGGAGTTTGCCACATTGGTATTAGTGACCATTCACTTGTATATGCAATTCGTAAACTTTGTGTATCTAGAAAGGATCCTAGAATAATTCGCAGCAGGCAATTTAGAGATTTCAACGCAAATTCATTTAGATATGATCTCAGCTTAGCCCCGTGGCATATCATTGAGGAGTACGAAAATGATCCAAATCTTGCTTGGGATGCTTGGAAAACTATATTCCTGAAAATATCTGATATTCATGCACCCAAACGGAGTAGAAAAATTCGAAATAGGCACTCTCCTTGGTTAACCCCAGAACTTAAGAAATTGATGTTTGAGAGGGACCGACTGAAAAGAATAGCAAGTAAACATGATACTGAACACAACTGGTCCAAGTATAGAAGTGCACGAAATAACGTTAACAGATGTATTCAAGATGCCAAAGCTGCATATTATCACAATTACTTTAGAAATAGCTTTGGTGATATTAAAAACACATGGAAAGGTGTGAATGAGCTTATGGGTAAAAATTCCCATACCAATGTAATAAGCAGCATTAAAGTTGGTGACTGTATCTACACTTCTTCAAGTGACATAAGTAATGCTTTTAATAACCACTTTACTCAAATTGGACCTAAATTAGTTAATAATGTTCCCACCTCAAACTCTAACTTTGAGCAATATATTACCACTACCGATACTAATTTTTCTATCACTGAGACAAATAATACAATTGTGTACAACTTGATCCAATCACTTCCTGTAAATAAATCTACTGGTTTAGATGAGATATCATGCAAGCTATTAAAAGAAGCTTCGCCAATTGTTTTTTCATCCTTAACTCATATAATAAACTTATCCATAAGAAACGGGGTATTTCCCAATGATTGGAAAAGAGCTAGGGTAATGCCAATATATAAAGAAGACACAAAATCAGATCCTGATAATTATAGACCAATATCTATCTTACCGATTGTCAGTAAAATAATTGAAAAGATCGTTTTCTCTCAGTTTTATGGATACCTAATCGACAATAATCTATTGTCTAGTTCCCAACATGGATTTAGACCATTACATTCAACGCTTACGACTCTTCTAATATCTACCAACAATTGGTACCAAAATATTGATAAAGGGCTTTTTAATGGAATTCTATTACTAGACCTAAAAAAAGCCTTTGATACCGTGGACCATCCAATTTTATTAAAGAAGCTTGAGATGTATGGCGTAGATCCTAATTCTATCAATTGGTTTAGATCATATCTAACAGGTCGCAATCAATGCACAAGCATTAATGGCACATTGTCTAGCTTGCTACCTGTTACTTGTGGGGTTCCTCAGGGATCGGTGCTTGGGCCCTTATTGTTTCTAATTTATATTAATGATCTTCAAGCCTGCCTCTCTACATCGTCCCTTATGATGTATGCTCATGATACATGTTTAACTGTTAGTTCTAACGATCCAAAAGACCTAGAGCTTAAACTAAATAACGAACTTAGAAAAGTGCAAACGTGGCTAAGGGCTAATAAGCTTACTCTGAATGTAAAGAAGACAAAATTCTTAATCCTAGGAAGCCAAGCGAGTTTAAGTAATCTGAATTATCGCTTTAACATTCAAATTATTGGACAGTCTATAGAAAGAATGTATTCTTATAGATATTTGGGACTTGAAATTGATGAATCTTTAAATTGGCAAGTACATATTGAAACCATTTGTAAGAAGATAAGTGCAAGTCTTGGGGCGTTAAAGCGGGTTCGAACTTTTGTACCCCAAAACACATTGATCCTGATGTATAAAGCCTTAGTGTTACCTTACTCAGACTACTGTAGTGAGGTTTGGGGCTGCCTAGGTAAAACCCTATCTGAAAAACTCCAAAAACTGCAAAACAGAGCCGGTAGGATAATAACCTTCTCCGATTATGACGTAAGATCAGCTGATATACTACACAGTCTTGGTTGGGAAACTCTTGACCAACGTCGTGCTAAACAGGTCGCAACAAGTATTTATAAAGCAGTGAATAATTTATATCCCAACGAGCTTAATACTATTTTTGAACCTACCTCGCAAGTCCACTCTCACAATCTTAGAGGTAGTTCGCACAGTATGTTCACCCCTAGACCCAGAACGGAGGCTGGTAAATAGAGCTTCGGCTACCGTGGGGCTGTGTTATGGAACGATCTTCCGGATGAAATAAGAAGTCAGGCTTCAATATATCTTTTCAAAAATAAACTTTCTAACTTTCAAATTTAATACTAAGATTAAGTAGTTGTAAATATGATAGGATTGTATATATATTTAACTAATTTCTTTTGTTTTTGTATTTTTACATGGCTCCTTGGAAGAGCACTTTAGTGAAAGAACACCATGTTACCTATTTATGTATTTTTTAATAAAGCTTCATTGATTGATTGATTGATTGACTTAAGCAAAATTCACTAATTTTAACATGTCATCGCAATGTAAATTCAGTTTCACTGAAAGTAGATCAAAGATCTAGCCACTAAAATACTTGTGTATACCTGTTGTACATAAGTTGCTGAGATTTGATGAGTGTTTCACTAAATCTCAGCCATTTTAGGTGGCTTCACATTCTTTAATTAAACTAATTAGCAAGTTATAATCATAAAAAAACCCAATGAAAACACTTCTCAAACGCTGAGTATTGTTACTAAACAGTTCGTTTCACCTTTAAAATCATTCTAAGCATTTGTACTCTAATATTTGAAAGTTTGTTTAATTTTGTTAGACAGTTTTTGTGTTATATATACTAAAACTGTCTGCTCGAAACGTCGAGTTTCTGCTTATTTTTTAAGGTATAGTAATATAACCACTCTGCACAGCATTTTAGTTTTTGTGTTAGCATGAGTTTTCTCAGCTGACGTCTTACTTTACTGTATTTAAGCAAAAATTCACTAATTTTAACATGTCATCTCAGTGTAAATTTGGTTACACTGAAAGTAGATCAAAGATCTAGCCACCAAAATACTTGTCTATACCTGTTGTATAATTTAAGTTGCTGAGATTTAATGAGTGTCTGACTAAATCTCAGCCATTGAAGGTGGCTTGACGTTGTTTTGCTAAACCAATTAGCATTTAGCAAGTTATTATCACAGTAAACCAATGAAAACATTTCTCAAAGACTGAGTATTGTTATTAACAGTTTGTTTTACTTTTAAAATTGTTCTGTGCATTTATACCCTAGCCTAATATGTGAAAGTTTTGTACAAATTTGTTAGACAGTTTTTGTGTTAACATGAGTTTATCAGCTGACGTCTTACTTTACTCTATACTTAAGCAAAGTTCACTAATTTTAACATGTCATCTCAGTGTAAATTTGGTTACACTGAAAGTAGATCAAAGATCTAGCCACCAAAATACTTGTCTATACCTGTTGTATAAGTTGCTGAGATTTCATGAGTGTTTGACTAAATCTCAGCCATTTTAGGTGCCTTAACAATCTTTAATTAAACTAATTAGCAAGTTATAATCATAAAAACCCCAATGAAAACATTTGTCAAAGGCTGAGTATTGTTACTAAACAGTTTGTTTCAGTTTCAAAATCATTCTAAGCATTTATACTCTAATATGTGAAAGCTTGGTACAATTTTGTTAGGCAGTTTTTGTGTTAGCATGAGTTTCTCAGCTGAGGTCTCACTTTACTCTCCTTAAGCAAAATGAACTAATTTTAACATGTCAGCTCAATATAAATTTGGTTTCACTGAAAGTAGATGAAATACTAGCCACCAAAATACTTGTGTATACCTGTTCTATAAGTCGCTGAGACTTCTTGAGTGTTTGACTAAATCTTGAGGCATTCAAGGTGGCTTACTTGAATGATTTACTAAACTAATTAGCAACTTATAATCATAATAAACCAATGAAAACACTTCTCAAAGGCTGAGTATTGTTACTAAACAGTTTGTTACAGTAAACTAATTAGCAACTTATAATCATGATAAACCAATGACAGCACGTCTCAAAGGCTGAGTATTGTTACTAAACAGTTTGTTTCAGTTTTAAAATCATTCTGTGCATTTATACTCTAATATGTGAAAGTTTGGTATGATTTCGTTAGGCAGTTTTTGTGTTAGCATGAGTTTCTCACCTGAGGTCTTACTTTACTCTATACTTAAGCAAAATTCACTAATTTTAACATATGTCTTCTGAATATAAATTTAGTTTCACTGAAAGTACTGTAGATCAAAGATATAGCCACCAAAATACTTGTCTACACATACTGTACGTGTTGTATAAGTTGCTGAGATTTCATGAGTGTTTGGCTAAATCTCAGCTATTTAAGTTGGCTTGACATTGCTTTGCTAAACTAATTAGCAAGTTATAATCGTAAAAACCCAATGAAACCACTTCTCAAAGGCTGAGTATTGTTACTACAAACATTTTGTTTCAGTTTTAAAATCACTTGGTGCATTTATACTCTAATATGTGAAAGTTTGGTATGATTTTGTTAGGCAGTTTTTGTGTTAGCATGCCCTTACGAAAATTTCCTATAGGAATTCCTATAGGAAAAATTCCTATAAGAATTTGGGACAAAATTCCTATAGGAATTCCTATAGGAAAAATTCCTATAGGAAAAATTCCTATAGGAAAAATTCCTATAGGAAAAATTCCTATAGGAAAAATTCCTATAGGAATTTTGGACAAAATTCTTATAGGAATTTTTCCTATAGGAATTCCTATAGGAAAAATTCCTATAGGAATTTTTTCTACAGGAATTTCTATAAGAATTTAATAGGAAGAATTCCTATAAGAATTCTCAAGTCTAGTCCCAAATTATTATAGGAATTTCCTATAAGAAAATAATTTATTCTAATTTCCTATAAGATTTTTGGTATTCCTGCAGAAATTCTAGAATCTAGATGAAATAATAGTAAATGACAGACAATGTTGTTCATCACTCTTAATTTTTTAATGCAAAAAATAGATATAAATTTAATTAATAAATACTAATTAATATTGCAAATATAAAAATTAATATGAGAAATTGGTTATACTAAACATTACAAATCAATTATAGTTTTCACCTATTGTGACAAATTAATCGTTCTACCTCAATGCAATGCCATATGATGCGTCCTATTTTATTATTTTACTCTGTCTAACTATTTTACTTTGTCTAATGCCAGACTATTTTACTCTGTCTAACTCCAGACAATTGTACTTGAATGTCAAGGGGAAATGCTGGCTCAGAATGGGTTAACTAGCCTATATTCCTATATATGTGTCTAGTTAACCCATTGAATCACATTGCGCCCTACTTTATTATTTTACTATAGTTTACTCTGTCTAACGCCAGACGATTTTACTCGTCAGAGCGCTGGCGCTTAATGGGCTAAACCATAGGTAATAACCATAATTGACATTTAAAGTTAAGTTCAAAACTGGCCTCAAAACATAGTCCTCAAATAAGTTCTTGTTCTTGTTTGCTTTTCTGTACTTTGCAACACTTTCCCATGTTGTTTATATTTGTCCTCATATGTTGATGAACCTCTGAGGCCTTACGTCCATACTTTGTTGATAGCTGTAAAAAGACAAATACATTTATTTTATGTCTACCATTCCAATGTGTTTTGTTAACCCATTAAATATGCCCAAATGCACCCAATTTATTATTTTACTCTAAGTGGAGAGTCTAGCACTTTAATAGAATAAACACAGTAAAATAACAAGGTACTAAAAGTAGGGCACATTGCTTCTAAATATGCCACACAGCAGCTTTTGCAGTTAATTATTAACCTTTCAATGACCAACATTCATTTTGATGAGTAAAATCATCTGATAAATATCAAAGTACTGAAAGTGGGGATTGTGTGTTAGGGTGAATTGCATCTAAATGTGCTAACGCCAAATAATGCAAAATAGTCTGGTATTAACAGGGCAAAATATTGAGCTTTGAAATAGAGCGCATTAGTGTGAATTTGTGAATTGGGTCTTGATGAGTTTACACAAAACACAGGGAGACAGCAAGGTAATCTATCAAAGTTGTCCACTCTCTTTCAAGTAAAATGATCTGGTGTTAGACAAGGTAAAATAAAAAAGTACTGAAAGTTGAGCACATTCATCTTAACAAGTTAGCATGAAATCTAAGCTAGCAGAGAGTCTGGTTAATTTGAATACCATCACATAGTTACTGTATGTTTATAAACTGTGGTTTAATTAATAGAAAAACATGGATAATTTTCCTGGCATAATACACTAAAGCATGTCTAAAGGCTAACAGATTTTAATACATTGACTGGTGCAAGACCTCTCAAAATGAAAATTGTTTAATTTAAACAAAACATATGAATAAATACTGCTTCTGATTTGAGCAAGTAGTTAAATTTTCTATAGGCATGCATTAAATATGCCTGACAATTTACAATTAATCTGGCATATACAGTTGGCACTTGGGATATACAAATATATTAATAAACATGGATAAGTCTGATTCAAATATAAGACTTTTATAGTAGCATTTGTTGAAGTATAAATGCTATAAATATATTTATATCAGCATTCTAATTCCGTTTATATTGTCGCGGAAAATTCAAATTTTATCGAACCACATGCTCGAATTTCACAAATGAAGATTGGAGGTATTTCCTCTATAATCTGCTTTATTATAAATAAAATATAAACTTATTCTTACCCGAACATTATGCAAACATCCCTGATGTATTACTAGTGAAAATCCAGTTGAATCCCATCAAAAATAGTTCTATTTTGCACATAAACCATTGACAAACACTGACTTGAAAAAATATCCAGTGTTTCCACAACGCATCATTCAAATTTCCTTGATTTTGCTTTAAAATTTCCTTGAATTTCCTTGAAATGGGATGTAATTTCCTTGAAATTTCCTTGATTAAGCGAAGTAGATTTCGGCAACTAGAATTTATCAATACTTATATAAAGTAAGACCACAGGCGGCCCAATCTCAGAATGAATGATCAGGTGTTGCGGGTTTTTAACGGTTTTTATAAAGAAATTTATAGTCAACCAAAACTATTTTAAAAACATTCTTAAATAAGTTAAATTTAATAGTCAAATAAATACATTTTAACAATAAAATATAGTTGACATGATAGTATAATACCTTTGCATTCTTTTAATTACTCCATGAGCTCATTTAGAGCGGTTGATGTAACACTTTCTGTGGCCTACATTGTGTGTGCTCATCTATATATAATATAACAGTAAAAGGCTAATCACTGGCGCCACGACCGCATCGCCTTCAAAGTCAAATATCTCCGCTCAAACTTCTCGTACGCCAAAACAAATTCGATTACATCTTTTCACAAAGATTTCTCTTTCTAAATAATATGGTTTGATCGTAGCTTGGGCAAATTTAGCGACGAACGGAACCAAAATCTCCTCAATTTCGGATACTGTTCAAAATACTTAGGGCTGCTCGGGCACGATCGTGGACGTGACGTAATCAATACATACTGACAATAACGCCTTACCGCCTTACGTGGGGTGGGACAGCATAAAGCGACAAACTATCGTCGAATTTGATATGCTGTCTCACCCCAGGTAAGGCGTTATTGTCAGTATGTATTGATTACGTCACGTCCACGATCGTGCCCGAGCAGCCCTAAGTATTTTGAACAGTATCCGAAATTGAGGAGATTTTGGTTCCGTTCGTCGCTAAATTTGCCCAAGCTACGATCAAACCATATTATTTAGAAAGAGAAATCTTTGTGAAAAGATGTAATCGAATTTGTTTTGGCGTACGAGAAGTTTGAGCGGAGATATTTGACTTTGAAGGCGATGCGGTCGTGCCGCCAGTGATTAGCCTTTTACTGTTATATTATATATAGATGAGCACACACAATGTAGGCCACAGAAAATGTTACATCAACCGCTCTAAATGAGCTCATGGATTAATTAAAAGAATGCAAAGGTATTATACTGTCATGTCAACTATATTTTATTGTTAAAATGTATTTATTTGACCAATTTGAGAATGTTTTTAGAATAGTTTTGGTTGACTATTTGAAATTTGTTTATAAAAACCGTTAAAAACCCTCAACACCTGATCATTCATTCTGAGATTGGGCCGCCTGTGTACTATCCAGCCTGGATATTCTGCCTGATATGAAATCCGATGCATCTTGAATTGTACTCGCCCAATTAAATGCCGGTGTCCCAGGAAATCCCCCCCCCCGCCCAATTTTCCTAGGAAATAGGGGGGCCATATTTCCTCGGAAATTGTGAAGCTTCTTCTAAAACCAAGATCCTAAAAGTGTTTGTCAGTATTTATAGTTAGTTTGCATAATTTATTTGTGTCAAAATTCTTCCACGCGGCCAAGAGCTAAAAGTTTGAAGGAAAGCGTAATAATAATAATGTGCTAGTGCAGTCATTCCAGACACATCGTACATGGGTATCTGTAGAGGACAACATTAATGTAAAATGGCTTAACTTTCATCTAAGGACACAAAACGATTTTTAGAGATGGGAATTTCTAAGATATTACAAGTTAATTAGATCTATAAATTCAGTCACATAGTATAAAATTAGTCAGTATAATAACCACACTTTAGCAAACGATGACATCATCGGGAATATGTTAATATGCATGTGTCTAATAATTAACAGAGAGTAATTAGCATTAGGGTAAATGTAGACTTTTAAGTGGAAACGTTTTTTGAAAAACAAAATCAAACGAGTGGTTATTTTGTAAAAAGAAATTTTCCTATGCATTTTACTTACATATACACAGTATATATAATCGCTTATATGGTTTGGATGCATTACAGACTGAAGCATTCCGTTTTAAATGTGTTTATGCAATAAAAATAATTAACATCAAGCACAAGTTGTGATGTGGGTCCTTAAAATATGTAAATTATGCATTTATGCAGGGTTCAATTTCATTGACCAATCAGAAGCAGTCTGTTGTCAGCGGGCGGGAGTTTGCCATTTGCTGTGCTCACGGGCTGTGCTCACTTGCATACTGCTTCTCACACCGTACACTTGATTTCCCACCCACCCACACGATAGTGTTTCCCCCCTGCCTGCGTTGGCACTGCCTGCGGTGGCGCCGGCTGTTTGCCGGCGCCTTGGGCTGCCTGCCTGCCCCCCTCTGGCTGTTTGCTCGATCTCGGGCTATTGACCCCTCCCCGTCTGGCTGCTTGCCGGGTGTTCGGCTGCTTGCCGATGTGTGTATCTGTGCATCAGCATATTTAATTTCGTGATTTGTTCGTCTGCTTGTATGTTTGTTTGTCCCCTCACCCTTAGTCCTTATGTCTGTCCGTGAAGCGCTTATTGTCTGTTGTGTGTGTCCTTGGCACAGCGTAAATGGTGGGGGTAGTCCTTTTTGTCAACCTTGCTAGCAATGTCCGGTGTTGTGTTCGTTATTTGCATTATGCCGCACCCGCTCGTCGGGCTTGCTCCCCGGCTAGTCCGGGTGATTTCTTTCAGATTGGTATCCTGCGTTATCCAGCGTTCTTTGGTTCCCCTTTGGTCGGTAGGTGCATATAGTTAGTTGTGCTCGGCTTAGTATGCTTACCAGGTAAGATATCTCGTACGTTCATGTTACTATTCGTTTGGTGTTTTTTATTAATTCCGTCTCCACCTGTGGTGTGACGTTAGCTCTGTCCTTGGAGAGGCTAATTCTCTGCATCATTGATATTAGTCAAGTCGGGATGCTGGGATGGCTGAAAGTCTCTTCTACCGAGAAGGCAGCTGCGCAGAATGGAGTTCATCGTAAGCCGGCTTGCCGAGTAAATTAAGCAGCCGGAACCTCTCCAACAGAGCTACACCCTCCAGAGAATTGCTTGCTTAAGCTCGAGTGTGTTAGATGTTAAGTATTAGCAAAAATCGTATCATTTTAAATATTATAAAAATTGTTTCATTTCCGTAGCTTAATGATTGATACAGCCATTATTTATTAACGTTGTCTTCTACAAAGCTGGTCAAAACCAAATGCAAAAAGTATGCTAAACTTTAGCTATTACTATATCAGTATTGCAGTGCAATGGAGAATTTTGACCCAAAAAATTACACTGAGAAAAATTTCTACAAATTTCTACGATTTCCTAGCCTAAAGATAAAGTAAACTATAATTTTTTAGGGGGGCCAAATTTTCCGAAGGGGGGGCATATTTCCTAGGAAATATGGCCCGGAGGGGGGAATTGCATGATTGGCTGTACTATTTTTACTGCTGCCAGTAATGGAACATTTATTTTTAGCTGTGATTTTAGTCTAATAGTACATGAAAGGGAGTGGTATACGAAATACATAGCCAAACCTGGCAGACTGTCTTTCCCACCTAACCAACCACACAGGCGATTATATGCAGGCAGGGCTTGAAATAACAGCCAATCACCAATCGATGATCGTCAAGAAATTGTTTATGATTCAGATTGTCCGAAAAGCACGGTTTTTATGGTTTTCATTAGTCTCCTCCGCAGGCAACTATTGAAACACATGAGGGATAGTTGATTTGATAGTTAATTAAGGGATAGTGAACTATCCCCCAACTATAAATTTATTTGTGGTGTTTCAAGAGTTTCAAGAGTTTACCTGTGGAGGAGGCTAGCTTTTCGGTTGCTCCCAACTGTACTTTTTTTCAAAAAATTTTGAAATAATTGACGAAGATAGACCTAAATTTTTGAACAATTGACTTGTTCAGGTAAGACAATAGTATCTGATAGATCTAGTTTACTTGATCTGGCAGTGTTACAATGTGTAAAATTTTCATAATCATGAATAATGAATGTCCAATTAAATAGACATATTGGTCTGCACGGACCTGGCAAGATAGTTCATCTGCTAAATTGTCCTTGTACAGTATCACTGATAGTTCATCTGATAATGTGTCCTTGTACCTTATACAGAGTCGCCAACTCGAACCGACTTGACCTTGTAGCTCAGTTAGAGCATAGTGATTGGCCTAGCATCCCAAAGGTCGCGGGTTTGATTCCCACCGTGGTCAGGCAAACTTCTCAGCTTGCCTGGTGTGGATGCACACACCCACTCTCTAGTATAAGTGGGTCATTTGTGACACAAAGTGCTGTGCAACATTTAGATTGAAGCTGGGAAGTCTGCCAAGCCAGGCAATGACGGACCTTCATTATACACTGTGTCAGATTTGGATCAGAAAAGACTTGAAGCTGATAAACTTTTAGAAGGCATTGATTTCGGTGGGATCACGTCCACGGTTACTTGTAAGTGTTTTACAGTACTTTTCAGTTTTATTAGTACTCCAAAATATTTTGCATTCTAGTGCCCGTAAAAATTTGTTTGATCTTCAATCTGTGGTGTCTTATCAAATTTCACTCTCTCCTTTTTCTTCCAGCTATAGTCCCAGACTGACCTGGGATTCACTTCTCGTATTCTCTTGTAGTCAATTTTTCCTCACTTGTCATGTCCACTGTTCCTCGATATTTAGATTTCCTTTCCCTCTCGTCTTCTCTACCTCCTAGGCTTTGTTCCTCGTCATCTGTGGTTCCATAATGTCTCTAACTGGATCTCCTTCATCTATTCTTATTACAGTGCCTGCCCATGCCATCACAGCCTTGCTTTTCTGGCCTAATTCTTTGCAATGTCTACCTCTCCACATCTTTTATTGCTGGTTATGTTACGGAGTTTCATTTCGCGAGTAATTGATATTAATTAAACCTCTTTCCCCCGGCGCTGTTTGTTCACCGCGTACCGCTGTCTCCAACTGTATAAATTATATTATTCCATATAATTCCCTGGAGAAGAGGCTAGAAACTGCATGAAGTACAAACAACTTTGTCTTTATTCCGATCCAAATGATCTTTGTTTCATTGCCAGCACAAAGCCCACCACAAAAAGCAGCTGTGGGAAACTCTCCTCAACAAATAACATCAGATTCTCCCATCAGGTTAGTAGGCCAGTGTTTCTCAGCCATGGTCTCCAAAGTGGGACAACCAGGAAACATTGTTTGCGTGACAAATATTCTTGGGAAAACGTTCATTTTGTCAGTATATACGCTATATATTAGTAATCAGTTTGACCAGCAAATAAGTAAGTTACACCTTGTACAGTACGGGGACCGGTTGTTCGAAAGTCGATAAGCTTAACAGTCACAACAGCTTGTTTTTTTGAAATATTTCGTCAGAAATTTTGTCTGGATCAGTAGGTTTGAATTTTCTTCTCTGAACTTCTGAATATTTAAAATAAACAGATGTACGAAGAAATACATTAAACTAAAACGGCAGGTGAAATTTTAACCGAGAGTCGAGAGTTAGCGCTAATCCAGCTTTGAACAACTGGTTGCAGTACAGTGTAGTACAGTACAGTACAGTACAGTACAGTACAGTACAGTACAGTACAGTACAGTACAGTACAGTACAGTACAGTACAGTACAGTACAGTACAGTACAGTACAGTACAGTACAGTACAGTACAGTACAGTACAGTACAGTACAGTACAGTACAGTACAGTACAGTACAGTACAGTACAGTACAGTACAGTACAGTACAGTACAGTACAGTACAGTACAGTACAGTACAGTACAGTACAGTGTTGTTTTATTTACAGATCACCGTTGAGACCAGTACAGAAATTATCAATATCAACATTAAATCAAACTAATATTCCTCCTAAAGAAGTAGTAGCTTATAACAAAGAGACTCAAACTCCTGTCATTCAGAAGTCTACAGAATCAGGTGAGTGAAATTGTATGTCGCAACTGCGAATTGCGAGAGGTGCAACTACCTGAAAAATAGAAGATACTGTAGTTGTATCTCTTTTCAAGTAGTTGTATCTTTTCAATCTGCATGCAGTTATCTTAGTTTGTTATCGTCTCTACATACAATGGCACAGACCGTTCGAGATTGTATGTCACATTGTACTGTATGTAATATGTGTTTACACGATGTGGTAAATGCTTACACCTTCAAACGCAATCGGTCACTGATGTCTGTCATCTTTGTCACTCTTTCTTTCAGATGAAGAACCGTCGACAAGTGATCAAAATAAGAAAGAAACGGAAGAAATTCAAGAAACTGTCAAAGATGAAGCAGAAGAACAAAAAGAAAAAAGTGAGTAGCAAAAGTTATCTCTAGTTTAGTCCACTGACTACTAAGGTTTTTTGTGACTTTTAGAAATTTCGAATTTTTGAAATATTGTGTGTTTAATAAGATTCTGATTTTATATTATAATGCAGTACATGATTTTTAATACTGTGTCAATAAGAATATCTAGCACTGTGCCCACTAATTTGGATGCAATCTAAACTGAAGCTTATTGATATAGAAACCTCTAACTTTTGCATATCTAATTAGCTTTGATATCCGACTGTTCTCCAGAAACCTGTCTTCCAAGTTAGCAATTTATTCCGTTTTAGAAGCATTTATACTACATCTGTGACTACATATTTTTACGTCTGTGACCACTTTTCAACTCTGATCAATGATCATAAATTGGCGGCCCTTGTTACTTATCAAAAATGCAATAATATTATCGACGCCATTCTGCAAAATTTGAATGTTTGATTCCATGGATGTTGTTTTTTGTTTTCGTGCGTTATTTTAATTGTATGTATTTGGAAAATCTTTGTAGCTCCAGTAATTGTAGAGATGTCAGAAGAACAAAAAGAGAAGATCCTCTCCTCCCCGGAGTTTCAACATTTTCTTGATCGCACAAGTCGCATTATTGAACGAGCAATTTATGAAAAAGATGTCACGTTTGATTATGGAAAAACGGAGGACGTGGAGGGGTAAGACGTTGTATTTTATACAGTAGATACACGTATACTGTAGGTTTTGTGACAAGTAAGGATTGTGCATTTGCCCGACAAGCTGCGAGATTCAAAACGTACCGTTAGAAACACTTTTTCCATGCAATTTGCTTCTCTGTATGTTGTACAAGGAAGAAATGCCGTCCGGCGCCTATTTGTGTGTGGGAGCGTGATGTTTTCTCCCCCTGATTGTAACATTACTAAGGTTTCTATTGAAATAGTATGCTGTGTTCATATTTGAAACTCTATTTTACATACATGTAGTATGCATGCAAGTTGGCATTCAGAAGGTACTTATGAATGCTGGGCACGCATGCCAAGTAGGCCACCCATGATTGAGGAGGTGTGCAAGCAAATACTATCAAGGCTAGGAAATATTATTCACTCTTGGACAATTTTGCGAAATGTAATTATTTATGACATAGAGAAACAATTTTGGACTTTTTATTATTATTATTATTATTTAAACTTATTTAGGCAACTGATTTTCAAGGGGCCCGTTTACATGCAATGAATTAAAGCCTGCACATTATTAATAGACCTTTCCGGTAATTACGTCACAACTACACTGTTTTCAACTTAGGACCACATTAAATGGTATTGATTTCGAGTTTGTTTCTCACGGGCTCTGGTCAGAGAAGCAGAACATCCTTCGTCAACACATGCATAAAAAAATTTTGGATTTTGACTATTAAATGTGGAAATAAGCTTAAACACGAAAACGAGGTTGAGGGGCCATGACCCATCTTGGCCCCTCAGCCTCGTTTTCGTGTTTAAGCTTATTTCCACATTTATTGGTCAAAATCCAAAATTCTTTTTATGAATGTGTTGAAGAAGGATGTTCCGCTCCTCTGACCATAGCCCTTGTGAAAAAAGCTTAAAATCCATTCCATTTAAGGTGGTCCTAAGTTGAAAACAGTGTTAGTTGTGACGTAATTACCGGAAAGGTCTAATGCATAACATTACTTTACATTACATCACATACATTACTGATAGATTACATCACATACATTACATTACAAACATAAATATATCTAAATTATCCTAATAATACTATTTACAAAAAGAAATACTGGCGAGTTTTATGATAACAATTTTATAATCATGTATTAACAGTTTCATAAATTAGGTTATAACGTTAACGTTTATTGTTTAATTTAGGGATAGTCAAATGTTTGATAACATTGCACTCAATCGTGAATTTTATGATGAAAAATGGTCCAAAAATCGTGTTGTCACAAGTTTAGATTGGTCAACCCAGGTATTGTTGTTAGTTTTCTTTCTGATCATTAATGTCATACTTAGACCGAGATTTGGACTGTGGTCTAAAATATTAAATATAATTTTGCCCGTGGTAAATCATGTGGCCGAAGTTAAGTGTTGTGCGCCATTGTTATAAACATAGCCTTGTACCATTTTAGTATCCTGAATTATTGGTTACGTCATATTATAAAAATGAAGATGCTCCACGGGAGCCTGATGGTGTCGTCTTAATATGGAACATCAACTACAAAAAAACAACGCCTGAATATACTTTCCATTGTCAGGTAAAATATGACGATTCATGCTGTTAGGTGTTCCACCGAAATAATGGTGGTTGTGCAAAACGTTGGAGCAGAAGGAATGATCGTAAAGTCATCAGTGGCGTAGCCAGCCCGACAATTATTCATTTCTTTAGAAATTGATTATTTTCACAGTCAATGAACACGCGAAAATATTTGCATAGCGGGACTAAACCGTCGGGCTGGCTACGCTACTGAAAGTCGTCATGTATACAGTACAGTCGTGTTATGTGGATTACAAACACCGGAAATTGGCTATTTGCCAAACAAAAACACTAAATGGCTGATCAGTTATGACTGATCACATAAAATACGTAGTAGTTCAATTGAATTAAATGAATGGTTATTTCATTAGCACTGTCAGCATAAAAGCTAGAAAAGGAACACAAAATATTGTCCGACCGTTATTAGCCAATGTCTGAGCAACTGCACAGTTGAAAGTGAAATTGTTATAATCCACACTGTCATGTATAAATATTTTTTGACTAATGCTGTAATATAAATTTTAACTTGTTGAATTATGCTGATGATGCAGTATTTCTGCGTAACGTTTATGTCACTAGAGTTCTGGTTCCAGCCATTTATTTAATCAGTTCGGCTTCGGCCGGAACCGTATTCTGTTGCAGCTGGATATGTGAAACCGATTCGAGTCAGAATGCAAACTGGTTCGATCGAATTCTTGCTGAACATTTTCACCCTTGAATCAGATAAGAATCATGTTTGTTCCAGTTGTATATAAATTGGCCTAATAGTTTCCCGTCGTCTCAAGTTTCTAACTGATTATAATTGTCTTTGGGTGTTCATGCCATTGAAAATGTTTGCGAATGGAAATCGTATTTATTTTTTTTTTAGTCTGGTGTGATGTCAACAATGTTTGCTCGATTTCATCCGAATTTAATTGTGGGTGGAACATACTGTGGTCAGATTGTATTATGGGACAACCGCAGCAATAAACAAACACCAGTTCAACGAACTCCGTTGTCGGCAAAAGCACACACGGTAAGAATTTTTTTATAATAGATCGGGGACCCTCGTGCGTCTACACATGCGTAAAGAGGCGCGAGTTTACTCTGGTCTGCAGCAGATCTGCTTCAAGGCTATTTGTTATATCAGGTTGTATTTGTCCTCTTAGCTTTGTGTGGTTGTTGGTTGGGCTAATGAGTGATGCCTCGCCAGACTTTAGTTATTACAAGTTGTTCAAAATGCCTGTTATTGTCCTGCAGATAAGTCGTACATGTAAGTGACTAACCTGTTGCTGGTTAATCCAGTGCAGCGCACAGTAGTTGTCGACGTTAAGGCTGTTCTCCATTACGGTCACTTTACCTGCGCTGGACTCAAGAGACCAACACAAGTGTGTATTTATTTAGTGGTGCGTGCATCCCAAAAAAGTTGAATGTAGTTCGGCTTTCATGGCGTGCAAGTGAGGGCTAAAGCGGACTGACAACTGTCAAGCTGAACAGCTACAGCGCACATTCAAAAATGTCCGCTCCTCCTCCTGCGTGGATAAAGCGACTGCATTGGAAAACGGCCTTTTAGAATTCATTCCCATCAATGAATTTTCAGGGGAGGTGCGAAGATTCTTAGGGGAGGTGCAAAACGATCTTAGAGGAGGTGGGCACCTCCCTGCAGCTCCCCTCAAAATCCGGCTGTGATTTCCATACTTTATACCCGAGTTTATTATGAACCCCCTTTTATTTGACAAGTTTTGAGATTTCAAAGTTGTACTGCATGTGCATTGCTGCATTTGTTTAAATTCTGCATCTGGCGAAGATTTACTTGATCTTGACTCTTCCCATCAGCCCCTTCGCCCATCTCTCCCCACTACAATACTTCATGCAAACTCGTCATATGCGCATCACTGTTTTTTTACAAAGAGACGCCTGGGTACGAGGCAGCGTTTTTACTCAAAAGCGTTTCGAACGAATGGTCCTTCGTAAAGACGTTATAACATCGTTGTGTTCTGGTATTTATGTAGCATCCTGTTTATTGTGTGAATGTCGTTGGCACGCAAAATGCACATAATCTTATCAGTGTCTCGACAAATGGTAGAATGTGTTCCTGGAGTTTGGAAATGCTCTCACAGCCACAGGTATAGTACCACCAACCTCGTTTCCAGGCTCTTACCCCTTATGGAGGAAAGACCTTGGTAGGAGCTGGTCACGTGATTTGCTAAAATTTACCAGATTTCTTTCTGTTAAAATCTGGCATTTTCTGCTAAAATCTAGCAGGTTTACAGATATTGGTTTCCTTGCAAAACAAAATGCAAGATATAAATTAAAGTATAAATATCAAATATAAGTAATAACATCATCATCATCATCAATTAAAAATCTGCTAGATTTTAGCGCATCACGTGAGCAGCTCCTACCAGGGTCGAGTTGAGAGCCTGGGAACGAGGTTGTAGTACCACTTGTAGATTTAAAAGAAATTTTGGAAACCAAGGTATATTATCTGCGGAAACTGAAAGCATTGGCTGTCACTTTCACATAAATCATGCGAAGAAAATCACATAAATCTCGCGCCAGTACCGTCCGCATAAAATAGCCTTTTTTTGTTTATTAAGTATCAAACTTCATAATAACCACATGTGCAATACGCTACATTTTAGGAATCCATCGAACTTCACGACAAGCAATCCAAGTCAGTGGCAGTGACCAGTATGTCATTTTTAGCTGGAGATGTAAACAATTTTGTTGTCGGAAGTGAAGATGGCATGGTTTACACAGCTTGCCGTCATGGAAGGTAAACAATAGGCTAGCTTTGGTATATACTCGCACGGTCTGTCAGGGTTCGTAGCGGTCTTTGAAATCCTTGAAAGTCTTCAAATTTGAATTCAGGTCTTTAAGGTCTTTGAAAAGTCTTCGAATTGTGTGAAAAAGCGAAGAAATTCTTTAAAAGTCTTTAAATTCTTTAGTGAGTATTTGATTATACGATTTCCTAGCTAATAAAATAGATTGATTGAAGCAGGATTTTCGCAAATATTGACGAAAAGGTATATTTTAGGATGTGATTTGAAGGGACTAATTACTGGGTAAAAGTGGTGCTTACACCCGCAATTTTTCGACAGCTGGTTGCTCTCAAAGATCTTTGAAAAGTCTTTGATGAAAATAGACAGAAAAAATCTTTGAAAGTCTTTGAATATTGTTGGTCTTGGAGACTACGAACCCTGCCTGTGCCAGCCGAGGTAGTGAAAATTACACCAGAAAGCAAAATACAAGTTTTACTTGTATTTTTCAGGGAGTTGAATCCGCAGCTTTTTGGGGTATAAATATACTATCTACCAATTTGGTAAATCTGGGACAGTTTTATACTAACTAGGGTCTCAGCTAGTAACTTTGAACAACCGGCTACTGGAGTTTGTAAATGTTTTAAAGGGAAGGAACAGCCGGGCTGGTTATTTATTAGTAAAAGTTATCAAATTGCTAATATCTTGTGTTTGGAGATTAAGTGTATAGGGAGTGTGTAAGCAAGATTCAAACAGTTAGTTGAAGGATGTAACTACCTGAAGAATATAGAAAATCTTCGTTTCGAGCCAAAACTCATTGCGACTCGTACTCTACATTTGAAATATTTCTAGTTGCTCTTGGTTTAAATGCGTTATCTTCATACTTATTTCCCCCGGACTCTTTGGAGTTTTTGTGCATTAAAATGACTTTAGCAGCCTTTAGAAAATTAAACATTGAACTTATTTTTAACGTCGTCATTGAACTTATTTTTAACTAAATAAATTCTCTTTTCAGCAAAGCCGGAATTATTGACTCTTTTGAGGGAACTGCGGGACAACTTGGAACACAAGGACATCAGGGACCTATCACCGGTGTTGACACACATTCAGCATTTGGACAGGTAAGTATATTTTATATTCAAACGGTTTTGATTGGTTACACGGTGAACGCTTAATACCCATGCATGACTACGGTACAGAACATTAAGTCATGAGAGTGTTGACAACTACATGCAATACTGTAATAAATAGTAATTAAACACTGGATTATTTTACAGATTGATTTCTCACACCTGTTTGTGACGTCATCGTTTGATTGGACTGTTAAGCTGTGGAGCCATCGGGTGAGTTATTAATGGCGGAAAAGCATTTAAACCAAATAATGCAATAAAACAATATGCATTAACATCACTTCTCTTTGTTATTTTTAGAGCAAACAGCCTCTGTACTCGTTTGAAGATAGCGGCGATTACGTGTATGATGTTCAGTGGTCTCCTATTCATCCTGCTGTGTTTGCAACTGTTAATGGACTAGGAAGACTTGATCTTTGGAATCTTAACAATGATACGGAGGTATTGTACGCCTTATACTACAGTATCTTGAAAAGAATCTAGAACAATCAAGCTAAACTGTGGAACTAAATTTATACTGGATAGCTGTATCAATTTTAGTTGTGAAATATATATTTGAATTTAGTAGCTTAGATCACAGGCCGATTTGCACTAAATCTTAAAGGTACACACTACACAGTCACTCTTTGGGCGATGTGATTTTAGGCCGTCGTGACAATATAACAACAATATAATTTCAGGGGTATTTTGCTGGGGGGAATGGGGGGGGGGGAATTCGCCCCCCAAAATCCCGAATTCCCCCAAATCTGAAAATAGCTAAATTCTGGGGGAGGGGGGATTTCCCCCAAAATGGAATATGAATATCATTATTAATATTAAACTGGTAAGACATATAACCTTAAGTATAGAAATGAGTAATCACTTGGAGGTGCAGTTGGTGAACTCAGACATCATTTCTATTCCCTCACTTGGAAATAGGTAGGAGGGGAATTCCTCCCAAATAAAAAAACACTGAAATTTTGGGGGAGCTCCCACCCAAGTTCCAAAACCTAAAATACCCCTGTAATTTGCTATTATCATGTTTGGAGACCAAAATACAAATTATTTTAATAAATTTATCTAAATTAAATATTCAGTGTAAATTTGGCCGACTTTAATTACATATAAATGAGCCATATATTATAGCCCTTTCTTTTGCACAAACTTGAAAAAGTTCGTGAACAAAATCAAGTTTCACACTGGGAATTAAGCTGTTCAAAAATACATTATATATTCAAACATTCAAGATGGCCGCCATCCCAACAGCCACTCTCAGAGATTGTCCAGTGGTGTAGTAACAGGCGTTGTGGTCTAGCAAGGGTATACCATGTTGGTCCAGGAAACTGGAGAACGCAGAGGAAACTAACGGTTTTTGGTATAGTCAGACTGGACACAGCGTAATAGTGCAGAAATCGCACCCGATCTCAGGGATGAGAAGTACACGCGCTTACAGGACCAATGTGCCACGAATACATTGAAATCAACCTGTTGTGGATACAATTTCAATTTTCTTCTGTTCGACTTATTAGATTCCCACTGCAAACACAACAATTGAAACTTCGGGATCTTTGAATCGATGTCGTTGGACACAGAATGGAAATCACATCGTGACTGGAGATGATGATGGGCATGTTTATTTCTTTGACGTTGGAGAGGTATGTTGGATAACATCAATTGTTGCAATTATACTATTAATATTGCTTTGTGTACAGACCAATGTCTTAGTGTACAAGAAATATTTTTGTACTATTGAAATGACCGTGCATGGGAAGCTGTTAAACTTAGAGAATAAAACCAATATTGATTTAAAATATAGTTGACGTAGTATTGGATATTCAGTTATTTGTCGTCATCTTTGTATTTTTTTATCAGTACATGCACATGTTGAATAAGAATTTACTCAATTCGTAGTTGTTTAGGGACGAGTTAAAGTTTTCTGTTCTATAATTCATTAATTTTGTTCCAGCAACTAGCCACACCTCGTTCAGACGAGTGGAGCCGTTTCCAACGTACTTTATATGATTTGGAAAGCAGCCAAAGCAGTAATCAAACAGTGGACGTAGCACCACCACTTGCAAGACATATTTCTCCTTTGAAAGTTGCTCATTGATCTGTGCTTCAAAAACGAACTGTAGGTAATTATTATATTATATAGGAATATTTTTTTGTAATGTAGAATTGCATTCTACGGATGTTGGTGGGTATAAAAGTAAAGCCTGGTTTACACTATCAAAGTTTCTGTGATCACAGTAGGAATTTTGCAGAGGTAAATTCTACGTTTTGGAGGATTTGTAAGAAATGTTTGAGGGAACTGACTCGGTGTTAAACACTCAATCAGTTCCGTCAAAAATTTCTTACAAATCCTTCAAAACTTAGAATTTACCTATATGCAAAATTCCTACTGTGATCACAGAAACTTTGTAGTGTAAACCAGCCTTAAGAGAGCAACACAGGGTGGTCAAGTACAGGAGCAAACGAATTAAACTAAGTGTCTCTGTTTTATTTATTTGGCACCAAACACAAAGGTATATATACAGTACATATAATGAAAGAATGAAGATTATTTTCTCTCTCTGATAACTGCTAGTTGATCACCAATCACCATTTGCTGAACGATAGTGCTTAGTGAAACCAGCATGAATGAGTTATTGCAGAACAACATACCAGTTCAGGATTTCCTCTTCTATGGGTATACAGCACAAGATATTTTAAACAAGACTCCAAAATAAGTTATGGAAGTAAATTATAAGCAAGATAATATTCAATAAAACTTAAAGAAGTCCACATTGTTTTTTTGGATTTTTTTGCCTTGTAACAATGTTCTGACATGATTCACTAAATATAACAATGACAGTTAACAGTGCTTCTAATTAATCAATCAACTGAAATCTACCCATGAGTTACTGTGATCTGTCTGCATAAAAATGTCATCTACTCATGATTACTGTATAAAAATGTCAACAATGACAATTATGGAATTGTAATACTGTACTGTATGTATTTGCATTGTTTATCCTATGTTTTTTCCAAGAAAAAAGCTCAAGAACGACTCGTCCATCTATAACGCATCAGCTTGGAATGTATTCCTACAATTAGTTTAATATCTCTATGAGATTTTAGGGTTATACACGCTTTACTTGTGTCGTTAAAGCCTGGTTCATACTAGCAATTCTGTTGGCGATTTATTCCCTCCTGACAAATGATTGACATGCAAAAGACGTGGAATTGTTTGCTTCTAAAAAGCGACTGTATACTTTTGTGTGCGAGTTCACTCATTTGCATCCGTGAGAAACACAAAACGACAAAATTACTATTGCATGTGAACCAGGCTTAAGCCATGACGTCACACTTCGGTTGCAGTCACACTGTCACATGCCTGAGGTGTGCATGTCAAGCATTATAGAGTTTAACCACGAAAGGAGTATTCATCAAACCTTCAATTCTAGAGTGATTACTCAAGGTTAGTTTTCCAGTAAAACATGTATCTAGGTTAGCACCGATGTAAATAACTGCCGCAGACGTTAGGGCACGCAGAACATCTCCGAAATGTCCCAATAATCACCAAGTGTTTTGAATTTGATTTTACTTCTTTAATGAGTTAATCCCAATTAAGTTAAATTACCAGTGGTTCTGGAACGAATAGCCAGCTCATTTGTGACAGGCACCTTATCGATCGTCAAAGACCTGAGTCACTATCCGTGGTTGTTATAGAGGATCTACTTGATGCCCATGATGGCTTCTGCGTATCATCTGAAGAATTTTTCAAAAGATTATTTTGTTTTAAGAAAAGTAGAAGCTGTGTTTTATAAATATCTTCTTCCTCCTCTTCGTCTTCTGATTTCTTATTTGACATGAACTCTGACTCTTGATAAGTGTCTTTCTTGAAGCTACTCGAGCTATTCTCATAGACCACCTCCAGAGGGATGACATTACTTGATTCGTCTTCACCGGCCAGGTATTCTCGGGAATGACCATAAGCTGGGTTAAAGAAAACATCACCAGAAGTACGGCCAATTGACATGACACTTTCTCTGAAAGAAACAACGTGAAGTCACGTATTAAATAATTGTTCCTCGCGAAAGTACGAAACTGCATGTACACCAAAGTTCCACAAAATTTCCCAATATTTGTGGTTGATGAAGTCAATATTTGTGGTTGATGAAGTTATTAAAAACATGTTTGGATCTTCATCAGTGTTATATTCGCACTACTTCATAAAAGCTTCGTGAAATAAATAGGCGTTGTGTTTCCGCAGTTTGAAAATTGCAGATTGCAAGCAGTTAACAATTTATGGTACTCTAACAAACCCTTGTTTTAGGTTTACTGGATACGTTTCCTGATTGTTGTGGGATTGCCTCCAATCAAAGTTGAAAAATAATTCATGCATGTTATTGAGAGAATACATGGAATTTATCTGAGGATACAGCAACACTCCCTGACGTAAACTCTCGTCGAGTAGTTCGAGTTGTGGAAAACTGATATTCTGAAAGTTGAAATTTGCTTTGCTTCGAAAATTATTGCTGTACATTACAGCTTGGTACCTAATAGCCAATTATTATGGAAATAAATATTTTTTCAGAAAATACAAATAAGCTGGTGTACCTTGTAACATAGTATTTCCTGCGTCTTCTCAATGCCAGAAATATCAATAATATTATAATTAATACAAGTAAACCAAGGCAGACACCAATAGCAATCCAGTATTCTTCAAAATCATCATCGTCATCATCATCTGAACCTACAAAATAGAAGAACAGTTAGGCCCATTTCAGAAGTCCAGCCTTTCTATTATTTGAGTGTGTCCCGACCTCTCCCTGTGATACCACCTGCTTGGCGGCTCGAATGCACGATGACAGGCAAGGTTTGTTCAATGCCGTAAGAAATTAATTTATCGAATTTAATTTGATTCAGACAGCGAACTTTTACTTTGAAGAAACATCGTAACGTTAACATAGTAAACATACATCGGAAATTTACAGATCGCGAATCTGTACAGTTCACTGAAGAATGCGAATCTGCTCATTGTCTGAGAATTTAAATAGTTTTTATCACAGATGTGGCGGCAACTATGACAGAAATGTTTTAATTTGCTGTCTCTCCAGAAAGCTAATACAGACAGATACATCCATCATGCAGTAATCTATTGTTTAAGAATTTAGAATAATTTCCAAGATTTCACCCATTAACAACAGCTCTCACCTGTCACCTTCGAACTGCATCTTGGTCCAGTGTAGCCAGACGTACAACTAAAACAATAAAGAAAGAGCTACTGAAACTGTATTGAGGTCATACTATGGTTAATACACGACAGGTTTTCCACTCAGTGTTCTATTTCAATGATAAAGTAATTTTTTACGTGGCCGTTCTCCATGTTTACTTTCCGTGAAAATACTTGAGGAAGACATAATAGCGATGCAACTTACGTTCTAAGTAATACGTAGTAATGTGAAACATTGAAAAATATAGCACCATTTACCTGCATTGTAACTGGGTATTTGAGATCTTGGTGCAGGTACCATGGTTCGAACAAAATCCGGATGTACAAAGCTCTGAAAATTTAAAGAGGCTGTCAAGTCCGTTCTGCTCATGCGCGTGTTTTGTTTACATTTTTTGTTTCAAACAATAGATAACTTAATTAAAATTCCGATCTGTGGGCCCACAAGTTAGCTCATTACGCATTCAGAATATACCACGAAGGAAGAATTGAACTACTAAAGCAAAAATTTAGCCCCCGAACAACAAATTTTAAATCGAAAACGCTAAGAAGCACTTCTTACAGAGGTATAGACAAAATTTGATTGAAATTTGTACACATTTTGCTCCAAAACGACATATTTAAGATTGAAAATGTTAAGAAACACATCTTTATACAAAGATATCGACAAAATTTGTACAGATTGCAGTTAAATGTTGTCTAGATCTCTGTAAGAAGTGCTTAGCATTTTCCATTTAAAATTTGTTGTTTTGGGGCTAAATTTTTGCTTTAATAGTTCAATTTTTCCTTCGTGATATACTCTGAATACGTAATGAGCTAATTTGTGGGTCTACAGATCGGAATTTTAATTAAATTATCTATTGTTTGAAACAAAAATGTAAACAAAACACGCGCATGAGCAGAACGGACTTTACAGCCTCTTTAATTTTAGTAAATATAATAAGCATAATAATACTCCAGAAATGTCAAGAGTAATCAGTGACTGGAAAATATAAACAAAACAATCTTGAGACATAAATGCCAGACGATGCGGAATAAAGAAGACCTGATGTGAAGGAAGGAAATAGATCATGGGGGTTTCGCTTTGGGAATAGGTGAAGAGATCAGGAGAAGAAATGGGGTAGCAGACATTGAAGGGAAACAATTAAGGCTGAGATGGGGTCTGAGACATTATGGAGCTACAGATAAAAGAGAGGGAGACTGAAGAGGGAGGGGGGACTGAAGGAAAAATGAATTGACTTATATAAAAGATGATGTTAATATCAAAGAACTGATGGCGGACTTGACAAGGGACATGATGTAGGATAATAATCCGGCAGCCAACAAAAGCTGGGTATAAGAAGAAGATAATGAATAATTGTAACTAAGTTTACAGGAATTTTGATCACTTAAATAGACAACATACCTTCGACATTTACGTTGGAAAACGTTAAGTTGTCCGAATGCGCGGTTGTGGTGATAACATTTCCCACTTCTTGTGTAGTTATATTTGATGAACTTTCCAGTGTGACGTAGAAAATTGTTACAACACTGCCGTTTCTATATGAAAAGATATGTTCAATTACATGAATGAATCGATCGATGAAATGATTTAAAACCTACAATCCTGGCAAAAATTATTGTGGACAGCGCGCGCGAAAATACAAATACCACCGCATATATTCGTGCAAAAACAGCTTTAAACCCCTTCCCCCGTTCAATATTGAATTGATTGGTGAATCGTTACATGAATGAATCGATTGATGACATGATTTAAAACCTAGAATTGAGATTAGTCATAAATGACCGATAATATATCCGGAGCTAGATGATCAATGGGTTCCGTTTACTTCCTGTAGTTCGCTAATGTATTAATCAATATAGGTACTTGAGTTACAACCTTAAACATGTACCATCCGTGAAAAACTACACTATTTAAAACTGATGCATATAATTTATACCTAAATCCTCATTTGTATAACATACTCACCTGAATCCGCGGATTTCAATATCTATAAATCCAGGTGTATTTTGAAATATCTTCACTAACTAAATGTGGTTGGAAAAGAATAAAGTTTAGTTAATGTTGTTTCTCCTTTTAAACGGAAGCTTTTAATAATTGAATTTTTTAGTATCACTTACCGAGGACTTTACTTCTGTCGCCATTTCAATATATTCTTTTGAGGAACTATTGGAAAGTTGGCTTGTGTATACCCTATTGGTGATTGTGAGATTGCCTGACACGATTCGTTGCTTTGACGAAGCAATGGGGAGTGTGACTGTACTTGTAACTGGAGTACTGGACAATACCGATGTAGGTTGGATTGCTTTGGTGGAAATATTTGGGGCAGTTACCAACGTGGTGGAAATTATTGATGTTAGGTTTGTTCTGTTAATCTCCATTGTACTTATATTGATTACATGTGAAGAAAATTTGGAAGTATATATGGTGAGATTTGTAGGAAAGCTGGATCGAATTGTTTGATTGGAGGCTTGGGTTTTGGTTGGTGTAATGCTGTAATTTTTGCTGCCAGAATGTGTTGAAGAGAATATAGTTAGGTTAAAGGAAGGTGCTGATGAGATTTTATTTACTTCTCCTGTTACAGTCGAGGATACTATTAAAGTTGTTAGGGATGGAGAACTGGAATTGAAGCTTGCCATTTGAGATGTTTGTCTGGATATATTCTTAGTCGATTGACTGGATATTACGGTATGACTTGAGGCAATATGGATTGAGGATGTATTATATGAAATTGTCAACGAAGTTAAGATGAGTATGGAAGGTGAATTTCTTGGAACAAAAGTAGATACGTTGGAACTGCGGACAAATTCCGAAGAGGGAGTCAATAAATGTGTCGTGTTCGCATGAATTGTACTCTCATTGACATTCGATGTAAAATGTAAGCTGTAATTCTGTGTCGAAGTCTGTGGAACAATTCTGATCAAACTTGAATTAATCATCGATGTACTTAGTGAAGATGGCAGGATGGGTAAAGTAGAAAGGAAAGTTGTTGTATTCATAGATATGGTATATACAGATGAATGTGTTGGTAGTGGATGGATTCTGGTAGATGAACCATTTCTCGTGGAAGGAGTAACAGTAGACTTGATTGAGACGCTCGATGTTGGAATGGCAGTCATCTTGATAACCGTTCTATTTGTGGTGGGGAATGGAGTTGTAAGTGTTGCTGTTTCATTGCCAGCGATCGGGGTAGGTGTTGATGTGTTTGTTAATGTCGAACGTTGTACAGTTGAGGTACTATCTTGATATATTGAAGAATCTTTCAGTCCAAGAAACATACTTGACGTTGTAATCATGGTTGTGGCAGAAGATAAAATTATTGGCGTATTGTTCATGGTTGCTAGAGAAGAAATATTTCAGTTCACTCAAGAATGGCTTCGTTTTCGTCATAGATGTGGCAACTATGACAGAAACGTTTTTGCCGTCTCTCCAGAGAGCTAATACAGACAGGTACATCAGTGATCTGTTGTTTAAGAATTTAGAATAATTTTCAAGATTTCACCCAACAACACCTCTTACCTGTCACCTTTGAACTGCATCTTGGTCCAGTGTAGCCGGACGTACAACTGAAACAATAAAGAACGTTCATAGAATTAAATTGCTTTTAAGGTTCTGCGATACCCTTGGAACCTTTCCCTGTACTAAATCTGAATGGAGAAGAATTCAAATTGCCCCGCTCTGAGAACAGAAGGGAATCTAATCATGGGGGAAACCAACGTAAGTAATAAGAAAGTAGGCTTACGAAAGTTTTAGACGCCAGACTCTGCTTACAACCACAAATATACGTTTGGTAATTATGGGTATGTGCTATAAGTCTATATACAGCAACAGCATGTCAAAACAGACTTCAGCAGAACTCCTTTGAAAAGGAAAACCCCGTCTTGAGCCACTGAACTGTATTGAGGTCATACTATGGTTAATACAAGACCCGTTTTCCACACGGTGATCTGTCTCAATGACAAAGTATTTTTTTGCGTAGCCGTTCTCCATGTTTAGTTTCCGTGAAAATGCTTGCGGAAGACATTAACGATGCAACTTACGTTCTAAGTACTGCGTAGTAATGTGATATAAAACATTGAAAAATATAGCACCATTTACCTGCATTGTAACTGGGTATTTGAGATCTTGGTGCAGGTACCATGGTTCGAACAAAATCCGGATGTACAAAGCTCTGAAAATTGAATTATAGTAAATATAATGAGCATAATACCTGTAATACTCCAGAAATGTTAAGAGTAATCAGTGACAGGAAAATGTAAACAAAACGATCTTGAGTCGTGAATACCGAACGATGCGGAACAAAGAAGACCTGACGAGCAGGACAGGAAGAGATCGTAGGGGTTTCGCTTTGAGAAAAGTTGAAAAATGAAGAGATCAGGAGAAGATATAATAATAATAAGCTTTAATCAAACTCACTAAAATTTACAAAACTACGTTAAAACAAAAATAGGAAACATTACAAACAGGAAAAGACGAGTTAGATAAGGGATTGGCAAACGGACTCGAAGTCCCAACAAGGCCAACGCCGTGCATTAATTACAACTAATGACACTATGACAACGAAATACACATAAAAGTTTCCTAAATACTACTCAGCAGCATAGTCATATTCGTCATCTAACGCTAGTTTCAAATGAACCTATAATGACTGAAAATAAGTTTGCAATTTTAGTTTTACACCCGTTTCCAAAACTAGGCGACCAACCCGAAAATAATTTCAGTTCAAATGCCAGTTTCATGCTACACGAACTGTTAAAATAGCCAACGTAACAAAAGACGTTTTAAAACCTATGGGGTGGCAGAACTTTGGGTGGCAGGAATTGAAGGGAAACAAAGCTGAAATGATAATATACAGTGGACACATTATAAGAAGAGATGGAGAAGAGCTGGTGTGAGACATGGAACTACAGATAAAGGAGAGCAGTGAGCAGGGGGATTGAAGAAGAAATGGATTGACGTATTTAAACGATGATGCTAATATCAAGCTAAGGAACTGGGAACTGATGGCGGATTTGACAAGGGACAGAAAAGGATGTAGGGTAAGAACCCGGCAGCCAACCCTTTGACACCGAGTCTAGGACAAAAGCTGGGTAAGAAGAAAGGAAGATAATGAATAATTTAACTAATGATAATTTAAATAGACAACATGATACCTTCGACGTTTACGTCGGAAAACGTTAAGTTGTCCGAATTTGCGGTTGTGGTAACATTTCCCACTTCTTGTGCAGTTATAGTTGATGAACTTTCCAGTTTGACGTAGAAAATTGTTACAACACTGCCGTTTCTATATGAAAAGATATGTTCCATTACATGAAAAATCGATCAATGAAATGATTTAAAACATACAATCGTGGTAAAAATTATTGTGGACAGCGTGCGCAAAAATACAAATACGTACCTGCCTTGCCGAATAGCTACATACGTGGAAAAGCAGCATTTTTTAACTCCCCCCTCCCCCCGTTCAATGTTGAAAGCTTATAAATCAACCAGGTGAAAACTTTGTGACTGATGCCTGTTAAAACCAACATCGTAGGGGGGAACGGGGGAGACAAATACGTCAACATGTGCATGTGAACGAGTGCTACAGCACTTTAGTTTACACCTAAGTGTCCACGGAATATTTGCCATGATTGTAGAATTGAGATTAGTGACTCACTATAAGTCATAAATAACTTAGTCATAAAGTATCCGGAAATAGACGATCTATGGGTTCAGTTTACTTCCTGTAGTTCGAGCGCTTGGGTACGAGTCAGCTTGATAATGTATTAATCAGTATAGGTACTTGAGTTACAACCTTAAACATGTACCACCCGTGAAAACTGTACTATTTAAGACTGACGCATATAACTTATACCTAAATTCTCATTGGTATAATACACTCACCTGAATCCGCGGATTTCAACATCTACAAATCCAGGTGTATTTTGAAGTATCTTCACTAACTAAATGTGGTTGGAAAAAGAATAAAGTTCAGTTAACATTATTTCTCCTTTTAAATGGAAGCTTTTAATAGTTGTTTTAGTATCACTTACAGAGGAGTTTACTTCTTTCGCCATTTCAATATATTCTTTTGAGGAACTATTGGAAAGTTCGCTTGTGTATACCCTATTGATGATTGTGAGATTGCCTGACATGATTCGTTGCTTTGATAAAGCAATGGGGAGTGTGACTGTACTTGTAACTGGAGTACTGGACAATACCGATGTAGGTTGGATTGCTTTGGTGGAAATATTTGGTGCAGTTATTAACGTGGTGGAAATTATTGATGTTAAGTTTGTTCTGTTGATCTCCATTGTACTTGTCTTGATTGCATTTAAAGAAAATTTAGAATCAGAAGTGGTGGCATTTGTAGGAAAGCTGGATCGAATTGTTTGATTGGAGGCTTGGATTTTTGTTGTTGTAATGCTGTAATTTTTGCTGCCAGAATGTGTTGAAGAGAATACAGTTAGGTTAAAGGAAGGTGCTGATGAGCTTTTATTTACTTCTCCTGTTACAATCGAGGATACTGTTAAAGTTGTTGAGGATGGCGAACTGGAAATGAAGCTTGCCATTTGAGATGTTTGACTGGATATATTCTTAGTCGATTGACTGGATATTCCGGTATGACTTGAAGCAATATGGATTGAGGATGCTGTTGTGTTATATGAAATTGTCAACGAAGTTAAGATGACTATGGAAGGTGAATTTCTTGGAACAAAAATAGATACGTTGGAAACGTTGGAACTGTAGACAATTTCCGAAGAGGGAGTCAATAAATGTGTCGTGTTCGCATAAATTGTACTTTCGTTGACATTCGATGTAAAATGTAAGCTGTAATTATGTGTCGAACTCCGTGGAACAATTCTGATCAAACTTGAATTAATCATCGACGTACTTAGTGAAGATGGCAGGATGGGTAAAGTAGAAATGGAAGTTGTTGTATTCATAGATATGGTATATACAGATGAATGTGTTGGTAGTGGATGGATTCTGGTAGATGAACCATTTCTCGTGAAAGAGGTAACAGTGGAATTAATCGAGACGCTCGATGTTGGAATGGCAGTCATCTTGATAACCGTTCTATTCGTGGTGGGGAATGGAGTTGTAAGCGTTGCTGTTTCATTGCCGATTATTGGGGTAGGTGTTGATGTGTTTGTTAATGTCGAACGTTGTACAGTTGAGGTACTACTTTCTTGGTATATTGAAGAATTTTTCCGTCCAAGAAACATACTTGATGTTGTAATCATGGTTGTGGCAGAAGTTGAAACTATTGGCGTATTGTTCATGGTTGCTAGAGAAGAAATATTTCAGTTCACTCAAAAACGAATTAAATAGTTTTCGTCACAGATGTGGCAACTATGACAGAAATATTTTTGCTGTCTCCCCAGAAAGCTAATACAGACAGGTACATCAGTGATCTGTTGTTTAAGAATTTACAATAATTTTCTAGATTTCACCCATCAACAACACCTCTTACCTGTCACCTTCGAACTGCATCTTGATCCAGTGAAGCTGGACATACAACTAGAACAATAAAGAACGTTCATAAAATTAAATTGCTTTTATGGTTCTGCGGTACCCTTGGAACCTTTTCCAGTACTAAATCTGAATGGAGAAGAGGGGAATCTAATCATGGGGGAAACCATGCAACGTCAGAAATAAGAAAGTAGGCTTACGAGAGTTTTAGACAGCAGACTCTTGCTTACAACCGGAAATATACGTTTGGTAATTATTGGTATGTACTATTTAACAATTCGTCGCCGAAGGCGAAGTGATTACAAGCTTATAGTATTCTGAATATAGGCTTGTAATCACCTATCCTGGTTCCAGAGGTTTATTTTTATTATTTTCATTGCGAAGGGGAGAGGAAAATCTCTGATTAATTCAAATAAAACATCTATAACCAATCAGAGAGCTTTAATCCAATCATCCAATCAGGAGACAGACTCGGGATCTGACCCTAATTTAAACTGATTGGCGCGGCTCAATGAATCAATTGCCGCTTTCAACCAGTGGTTTATTTTAAACCTCTGGAACCAGGGTAGTAATCACCGAGCCTGAGGAGACTAACTGTTTTAGTATAATTTCAGTATTGAAAAAGTTTTATTTATAAATACAACTAATATACGTGTTTAGTTTATGAATATAATTGGCATATCTTTTGGGAAAAGCAATAGTTACTGTTCAGAGCAGTCTGGGCGCAGTAACTATTACCTCACAGTTACTGCTGAGGGAGCCAATCAGAATGCTCAAAGGCCATTTTTCAATACTGAAATTATACTAAAAGTTTATATACAACAGGCTCAACAGCATGTCAAAACAGACTTGAGCAGAACTCGTTTGAAAAGAAAAACCTTGTCTTGAGCACTGAACTGTATGGAGGTCATACTATGGTCAATACAAGACAGGTTTTCCACACAGTGATCTATCTTATGAATGCATGGTAAGTAATTTTTGGCATAGCCGTTCTTCATGTGATGCAATTTACGTTCTAATTAATGCGTAGTAATATGGTATAAAGCATTGAAAAATATAGCACCATTTACCTGCATTGTAACAGGGTATTTGAGACCTTGGTGCAGGTACCATGGTTCGAACAAAATCCGGATGTACAAAGCTCTGAAAATTTAATTTTAGTAAATATAATAAGCATAATAATACTCCAGAAATATCAAGATTAACCAGTGACAGAAAAATGTAAACAAAACAATCTTGAGACGTGAATACCGGGGAACAAAGAAAACCTGACGAGTAGGACAGAAATAGATCGTAGGGGTTTTGCTTTGGGAAAATGTGAGAAATGAAGAGTTAGGAGAAGAGGTAATAATAAGCTTTAATCGAACTCACTAAAATTACAAAACTCATGCGTTAAAACAAAAATAATAGACATTACAAACAGGAAAATTAAGACGAGTTAGATAAGGGATTGGCGAACGGACTCGAAGTCCCAACAAGGCCAACCCCGTACATTAATTACAACTAATGACACTATGTGACAACAAAATACACATAAACGTTCCCTAAATACTGCTGAGCAGCATACGCCATATACGTCATCTAACGCTGGTTTCAAATGAACCTAATGACTGAAATAGGGTTGTAAATTCTAGTTTTACACCCGTTTCCAAAATTGGGCGACCATTCAGTTCAAATGCCAGTTTTATGCTACACGAACTAGGTACTAAAATAGCAAACGTATAACAAAAGACGTTTTAAAACCTATCGGGTGGCAGACATTGAAGGGAAACAAAGCTGAGATGGTATATGGACAGTGGACACATTATAAGAAGAGATTGAGAAGAGCTGGTCTGAGACATGGAGCTACAGGTAGAAGAGAACAGTGGGCAGAGGGACTGAAGAAGAAATGGATTGACTTGTTTAAAAGATGATGCTATAATATCAAGGAACTGATGGCGGACTTGACAAGGCCGACAGAAAAGGATGTATTGTAGGATACGAACCCGGCAGCCAACCCTTTGACACTGAGTCTAGGACAAAAGCTGGGTAAGAAAAAGAAGATAATGAATAATTTTAACTAAGTTAACAAGAATTTTGATCACCTAAATAGACGATATACCTTCGACATTTATGTTGGAAAACGTTAAGTTGTCCGAACTTGCGGCTGTGGTGATAACATTTCCCACTTCTTGTGCAGTTATATTTGATGAACTTTCCAGTTTGACGTAGAAAATTGTTACAACACTGCCGTTTCTATATGAAAAGATATGTTCCATTACATGAATGAATCGATCAATGAAATGATTTAAAACATACAATCGTGGCAAAAATGATTGTGGACAGCGCGCGCAAAAATACAAATACCTGCCTTGCCAAATACATGAGTGCAAAAACAGCATTTTTTACATAAATCGGTCAGGTGAAAGCTTTGTGACTGATGCCTGTTAAAACCAACATTGTGTGCGTGCGTGCGTGCGTGCGTGCGTGCGTGCGTGCGTGTGTGTGTGGGGTTGACAAAGACGTCAACATGTGTATGTGAACAGTAATACTTTAGTTTACACCTAAGTGTCCACGGAATATTTGCCATGATATTGTAGAATTGAGATTAGTCATAAATCACTGAGTCATAAATATCCGGAAGTAGACGATCTATGGGTTCAACTTACTTCCTGTAGTTCGAGCGCTTGGGTACAAGTCTACTTGAATGCCTTGATAATGTATTAATCAGTGTAGGTACTTGAGTTACAACCTTACAGTACCGCCCGTGAAAAACTGTACTATTTAAGACTGACGCATATAACTTATACCTAAATCCTCATTTGTGTACTACACTCACTTGAATCCGCGGATTTCAACATCTACAAATCCAGGTGTATTTTGAAGTATCTGTACCAACTAAATGTGGTCGGAAAAAGAATAAAGTTTAGTTAATATTATTTCTCCTTTTAAACGGAAGCTTAAAATAGTTGTTTTAGTATCACTTACCGAGGAGTTTACTTCTTTCGCCATTTCAATATATTCTTTTGAGGAACTATTGGAAAGTTGGCTTGTGTATACCCTATTGGTGTATGTGAGATTGCCTGACACGATTCGTTGCTTTGATAAAGCAATGGGGAGTGTGACTGTACTTGTAACTGGAGTACTCGACAATACCGATGTAGGTTGGATTGCTTTGGTGGAAATATTTCGTGCAGTTACCAACGTGGTGGAAATTATTGATGTTAAGTTTGTTCTGTTGATCTCCATTGTACTTGTCTTCATTGCATTTAAAGAAAATTTAGAATCAGAAGTGGTGGCATTTGTAGGAAAGCTGGATCGAATTGTTTGATTGGAGGCTTGGATTTTTGTTGTTGTAAAGCTGTAATTTTTGCTGCCAGAATGTGTTGAAGAGAATACAGTTAGGTTAAAGGAAGGTGCTGATGAGCTTTTATTTACTTCTCCTGTTACAATTGAGGATACTGTTAAAGTTGTTAGGGATGGAGTACTGGAATTGAAGCTTGCCATTTGAGATGTTTGACTGGATATATTCTTAGTCGATTGACTGGATATTACGGTATGACTTGAAGCAATATGGATTGAGGATGCTGTAGTATTATATGAAATTGTCGACGAAGTTAAGATGAGTATGGAAGGTGAATTTCTTGGAACAAAAATAGATACGTTGGAAACGTTGGAACTGTAGACAAATTCCGAAGAGGGAGTCAATAAATGTGTCGTATTCGCATAAATTGTACTCTCGTTGACATTCGATATAAAATGTAAGCTGTAATTATGTGTCGAACTCCGTGGAACAATTTTGATCAAACTTGAATTAATCATCGATGTACTTACTTCAGATGGCAAGACGGGTGAAGTGGAAAGGGAATTTGCATTTATAGATATGGTATATACAGATGAATGTGTTGGTAGTGGATGGATACTGGTAGATTGTGTTTGGTTCGTGGTTGATAGCGAAGAAGAATTCTGGGTTATTGTAGAAGGCAACATGAGTGGCGAAGTATTAGATACGTTTACTGAAGAAGTTATAGGTTCCAAATCAACGCTCAAAGTATTGCTTATTACTTTTGAGAATGATTGATCAGATATTATTGAGCTGTTTATGACTGAAATAGACAGGAACGATGTTGCTGAAGTGTTAGCAACAGGTGAAAATGAATGAGCGGAACTAGTAATGTTCGACTCATCTGCTGAACTTGATGTTGCTGAATTTCCAACTGCTTCTGTAAGAACTGAAGGGAGACTGGTAATTGAAGGTCCATATAATGTTGAATTTGTAGGTGATGATACCAATTTTGTAACTGTATTTGCCATGCTTAGAGAAAAACCTGTGCTTGAAGGATCACTGTAGGTGGCTGAGTAACTCACTGCATATATTGAACGTGAGATTGATGAGATGGTATTGCGGTTACTCATTTCATTTGCAGTAGAGGTTTTAATCACTTGACTTGTGGAATCTGGCCAGACATTAGTTGGGCTTGGTGTTAAAATTTTAGTTGATCGCACCATACTTGCCACCGCGCTAGAAATGAAGTGTGTAGATGTAGTGGAGTTAGCACTAGAATCCAATTGACTTTTGGCAAAACTTTGTGTTGGTAGTGGATGGATACTGGTAGATTGTGTTTGGTTCGTGGTTGATAGCGAAGAAGAATTCTGGGTTATTGTAGAAGGCAACATGAGTGGCGAAGTATTAGATACGTTTACTGAAGAAGTTCTAGGTTCCAAATCAACGCTCAAAGTATTGCTTATTACTTTTGAGAATGATTGACCAGATATTATTGAGCTGTTTATGACTGAAATAGACAGGAACGATGTTGCTGAAGTGTTAGCAACAGGTGAAAATGAATGAGCGGAACTAGTAATGTTCGACTCATCTGCTGAACTTGATGTTGCTGAATTTCCAACTGCTTCTGCAAGAACTGAAGGGAGACTGGTAATTGAAGGTCCATATAATGTTGAATTTGTAGGTGATGATACCAATTTTGTAACTGTATTTGCCATGCTTAGAGAAAAATCTGTGCTTGAAGGATCACTGTAGGTGGCTGAGTAACTCACTGCATATATTGAACGTGAGATTGATGAGATGGTATTGCGGTTACTCATTTCATTTGCAGTAGAGGTTTTAATCACTTGACTTGTGGAATCTGGCCAGACATTAGTTGGGCTTGGTGTTAAAATTTTAGTTGATCGCACCATACTTGCCACCGCGCTAGAAATGAAGTGTGCAGATGCAGTGAAGTTAGCAGTTGAATCCAATTGACTTGTGGCAAAACTTTTGGCTGAAGTAGTTGACGCATATGGTGAAGAAGTGAAGTTGAGTGTATCACTGCTTGGTGATAATTCGCTTACTGGAGACTGGGAATTAGAAATTGTACTGTGATAACTTGGTGGTGAACTTTGTCCAGCTAAAACATAAGCAGAATTAACCAATATAAGTAGTAAACACGTGTAACAAAATTAGCCTTTCTCACGATGACGAATATCCGCCATTTTTGGGTGGCATCCAATTCTCGTTAACCGATGCAGATAATTAAAACAATGTGAAAAGCAATTTTTCAAAATAAACTAACCAAATACAAAGCAAATTTACCATCATTTGTCCAAAAAATTATAAAAAGTCGCTGTTATGTGGACTTATCTCGCAGACTTCGGCTGACATGCCACCCAAAAATGGCGGTGTGAGAAAGGCTAATTGAATACAATTTGTGATTCTATCATTTTTAGCGTTCCTCCAATGAAGACAAAAAAATTTAAAGTGATATTTCGTTACTCTGATGGCGAAAAATGATAACCACAAAACCTCGACCTCTATATTTTGTTTTCGACAACTCAATTCTCATTCCCCCGTTCATAACTCCATTGCATATACCAACGTCGTACCTAGAGTCCCCGTGTTTATAGATTCTGGCGCACGCAGAACCTTTAAACACGTGGACCCTGGGTACGAGGTTGTGCATATATTTGAGCGTCGCCAGTAAAGGTGGCTGCGAAATTGTGTAGATGCATGATGCGAAATTGTGTAGATTTTAGACGTCTTTAGCGAAGGCCATTCGTTTGGAACTTTATAGTAGAAGGGCCTTCTCTCCAAGTTCTTGTTATATTTTTCAGGTAGTTGCATTATCTACACAATTTTGCATTTGTGGACATATACCGACATAGTGGTTGTGGTTTCGTGATTTGATTTTCGAACGATACAAACCAGTTCAAGAACAGTTATCCAGAATTATCAAGGTCGAGGTAAGTGTTATCAGTCGAGCCGAAGGCGAGACTGATAACACTTATCGAGATCAAGTCTGCGTAGCAGGCGTTTATTTTCCTGGGATATCACCACCGAATTCACTAACTGTTTTATTATAAATGATTTGTAGCACAAAACAACGCTTTGTTCTCAAAAAAGCAGTGAAAACGTTAAAATATTACAATAACATCTTAAAATATTAGAAATTGCCGCGCTTGCTGTAAAATTACATACCTCTGGCTGAAGCTACACATAACTACTCAGTTTCTGCTAGCAGAAAACTGTGTTACATGTAGCGTGCGTGTTTCCATATTTAGTTGTGAGTCAGAGACACTTATAGTGACTATACATATACAACGCGTATAATAACTGGCTTTTAACTCAATACCTTTTGCAGCATCGTCACGCTTTTCCCTTATCCTCTTCATTTTGCGGTTAGAATGTTCATCTTTTTTGGCAAAATGTAGTTTAATGTCGGCAATAATACTTCCCTTCCTGTTTTAAAGAAATATTTTCAATCTCGTGCACCGTTAGTATAGCTATTGTCTTGATACACCAGGTGAAAATCTTAGTTTGAAAGAACTCAGCAGAACATTAGCTGTTTCGTTGTATACAGTACAACTTCAACGTCAGTTGAAAAGTTATTATGATTGCACTATGCAGCGTGGTGAATAAAAGGGCTGAAGATATCCCATCTTCACACGCGTACCGCATGAATTATAAGCATTCGTCATATTAAAGGGGCTAAAGCGGGGCCTCGAAAGGGTCTATATATACAAAATGCATGTCAAGTAACAGCATGCCCTTTCACAGCTTGGGACTTTTGTTATTGTAAAATGGAGATGTAAAAATAGAACATCCCTTCAATCGAATAAATTATGCATTCCTCTTAACTTGTCATACTGTAATATATACAGTAGGTCTTTCCCATAGAAATATTAGACCTAATATTTTTCCGCAAAGCTCTTTGACGCAAAGCTGGTGAATGGCATGATCTGGATGGAAAAAGTATATGTTCTAATTTTATGTATTGCCATTGGTCTCTCTCTATATAGCTTCACTGACGTAAATTACACAATTTTATATTGAAATAATATTTATCGTAATTATAAACTATACAATTTATATGTTTTTTTGTGATAATATAAGGTGGTAGGCAATACCTGAATTGCAGGACTTTCGCAGAAGCGAACGAGAACAATGAACACTCATTCTTGAAAAACGAATCAATCTAAGTAAAACAAATAGAAGTTGTATTATACAAAAGTTAAATTTAGAAAAAGCATAGAATAATTTATAAGAATTAAATTCGAGTAATTTCTAAACGAAGAAAATATATAATTGGCAATTTTCATATGCGCATTTTCATATATTGGGAAAAATACGACATTAATTGTAATGATTCCTCAAAAGCAGCACAGATCGACGCCAACTAATTTAAAAGATTATATATAGGTTTAAATCATACACATCTTGTATGGTAAGAGTGCATGTCGGGATAATGGATTTCCTGATGAAGATGCGGGTTTACACATCGAAACCATTTATATATACATATATATATATATATATATATATATATATATATATATATATATATATATATATATATATATATATATATATATATATATATATATATATATATATACAAGGAACTTATTTAATAATTTTTACTTTCGTTACTTCTTCTCAAATACAGACAGTCCAGTTCACACTGCAACTCTTACTGCCAATTTCATCGCAAAAAATCACCATAAATGATCTCCCTTTCTGAGGAACAAATATAATGTTCATATTTTACTCTACTTTTTTATCTAACATCAAACGATTCTTTTTTACCTAATATTCCTGTAATAGGTAAAGAGTTTAGGAAAGTGTGAATATTTTTTTCTGAATTTCCGTGCCAAGAAAGTAAACATACGGTGTTTAATAAGTAGTATAGGGGACTACAATGTCCTACTTGTATTTAGCACCTGCCTTTGCATGGGCAAATCTTTAAGTAAAGTTTGATTTTTTATTACATGCATGTTATTTTACCTTCCGTTCCACAGCTTGTGATAATTGTTGATATTGAGGCGATGATGAATTTTCAAGATGTGAACTGAACAAATTCTGTTCAGTAATGGTCACGCTCAGATATATCACTTCACCTTGGAATTGAAATAGTAAAATCATTATATTACAGAGGCATATGCTATAGGGAAGGGTATTGGGAAGGGAAGGTCCATGCATGCATCTCTTACTATTATCTAGCGTTCATCTTTTGAACTCCCATTTCACTGTCAAGTAATTACGGGACCCACTCAGTATTTTAAGAAAATACAAAATAACAGTAACTCCGAATAACATTTTGATTTTTAATCGACGTTTCGACTAGTTTGTAGTCATCCTCAGGATTAACTTCAAACTAGTCGAAACGTCGATTAAAAATCAAAATGTTATTCGGAGTTACTGTTATTTTGTACTGTCAAGTAATTTCCCTAATTATACTCTTTCGAATCTGAAGAAACTTTTGCAAATCCCTTTAGAAACTTTGGAAAGTTACCTATGTATGTTTAAATGCTCTTAAGATCATTTTCGTAGTTTCTTACTCCTCACTTCCTTTTCAAATGTCCAATGTAATTGCGGGAGAAAACTGGCATGTATGCTGGGGGAATTCGCGGTGTTTTGCCGGAATCACTGGAAGCACCTTCTCACATGTATGTAACTGAGACATGAATCTATAGTAGAAGGCCCGGGGGTCTGCTCAAGAACAATAAACTTTAGTTTGGATTTGCAAGAGTCCGGATGACTTTGCCGGTATAGATAAACTGAAGCGGAGAACTAATTTACATTTATTTTTAAAACATAAATATAGTTAATATATATATTGACGATTTGTGTAAGCGAAAGATTTAGATATAGGTTCACGTTTTAAAACATGTAAAGCTAAAAGCTGTTATTCGATGTGCCTTATTTGGCGCGTTCGCCATACTACTTTTTCGAAAATATATCTTCGAATAATGCCCTGTCGCATGCTTAATAGTCTTCTATTATCTTCATTATATATCTTTTCTTAGCTAATCCACAAATATAATGCTTATATGGTTGGTTCTAATGACAATGCCAATGCATGTAGTTAGCGAGGAAAACGGAAAAATGCGAACTGCGTTGCCGTGTATATTACAAAATATTGAATTGCAATAGTGGGATACTACGGATCACTACGAAAATCGATACACACTGTGACTCATCCTCACGAAAATATAATTAGATAATGAATTAACCACCTACCTTGGAGTACACTAACATTGTAGTTGTTCATATCGCTAATACATTTGGCGTTTTTGTCGCCAGCACCTGGCATTGGCAATAGGTCTTGGACGAAATTATCAGCTTTAAAAAATCGCATTAATTCTGGCATGGTCTGGCCTTTATTCATAATGTCTGCTTTCCTTTTTGCCTGGACTTCATTATATCGATGCACGGAGTTCCCTGAAACTTAAAACGAATGATTCTTAATATTTCAACACACATGCAAAAATTAGATATAGTCAGTGCTAGGTAAACATAGAATAAAATAGAATTGAATCTTAATATGCGCATGTATATAAACTATAGAGTGCATGAGGATCGTATTATTTGTAGTCTTTCAAGTTCACACAGGATATACACATATATAGAATCAGTGGAAGCGAACGAATTGACGTACTCGGTTTCAAATTGTTTGGTCTTATGTGAAAATAGTCTCAGTAAAGGCTGAAAACAAAGCCGTAAGAACCTTACTTCAAGCTAAAGTGTGTATATACATACTTAAATAACTAATTCGTACCTGTATTTACTGTGAGAACGAATAATGACAAAAGTCCTATGACGACAATCCATTGTGCGAAGAAACCGACGTATTTATCCATCTTTTTAAATTCTCATTTATTGCCTCATATTTCGATTATAGACTATAATCTATATAGCGGCGTGTTTATATGCACAAGAAGCGAGAAAATGAGAGTGCATTTTGTACTGCTTTTTAATTGGTCACTCGCGAGCTATAGTCACGATGGCGTCTTCATGTTTGCAGGTGGCAATAAAGTGAAAGGATATTTTTATCTTACATCATCGCTTGATTTTGAAAACTTTACTCATGGAAATCGTGTTTAGATTTTTGCACAAAACTAATTTGCTTTAAATGAGGGAAATCTAAAGCACATTATGAAAGGTCATTGCATGCTGTTTTGCCATATCTTGGGATAATTTGCTTTTCACAATAAAGAAATATTAACGAGTCTATGATTGAAAACACTTGCGGCTTATTTACAATTTAAAGCAGCACTGTTAAATTAATAGATATTCCATCTCATGCATGCCGTGCAAGCAAAAACGTAGATGAGATCTATAGCAACGCAGATCTTTATGTATATCGCGTGTGAAATCGTGCAAATTTGAGTAGTACATGATCCAGTTTCCAACTCATCCTGTCCCGTGTGATCGGAATATTCATCATAAGGAATTTGCACACAATGTTAGATATACATGCAGAGTGCGTACTTGGTAACGAATCAATTTTATTTGTTTCACTTATAAATCTCTCAGTCCGCCATATTGAATTCGAGGCGCGTATACGACCTCGGGAAATGACCTGTATAAACGACCTCGCAAAATTTCATAGGGTGTCGCCTTTACGGATTTAGGAACCGTCAACGCCTCAAGCTACGTACATATAGCACTGATATTTGATGGTCGGTAGCATTATTTTTATGCATGAAATTGTCTACGCTTTATTGCGCTAGTGTTTCTACTCGAGTCCTATAAATATATATAGTCTGGTCCAGTCCGTATTTCATCCGTATTTTACAACATGCCAATTTAGGGTCCACTCTTTCACTTTTAAATCTATAGTCCCTTCCGCGTCACTAAATTTGACGTACGCGGCTTCACAAAATTTCTTGGGATTTCATTTCGCCTTACGTCTCGTGTAATATTTCTCTTGGAACATTCGAACGCCGAACGCGTTTATATTATTGTGTACAGTATATACTGTACTGTAATTAAACCACGCGGCTATGAATTTTGTCAATTATAAAAAGAAAGAAAACTAATGAAAGAAACTTAATTAAGAACATGGGTCAGTCCAATATTATACTGTTCTTCCACAATCATAGACTCAACCTTGTATTTTAGCTGTTTCCGAGGGGTTCAATCACCATTGATATATATTAGGAAGATAGTCTAGAATAACGTTTCATATCCCGAATCTCGCCATCACGTTTCTTACTATTCCGTACTTCTTGGATCTCACTCATCGTGCATGCATGCACATGCAATTAACTAAAGTCTACTAACGTCTGCGAAGGCCCACGACTTTTTCGACTCCCGAACCCGTAACTCCATAACTTATCCCGAAAGCATCGCATCTCAACACTGAGACAGTTTAATTAAAATTGTTTTCTAAGGAATAGGTAACTAAACGTTTTACGATAATTTGGCAAACGAATAAAGTAGATGAATGGATTGATTGCAAAATTGAAGTAGTATATTGGAGTAACAATCCCCACTAGAACATTGCGTTCACTCTCATACAGTTTAAGTGAAAAAAACACTTGATAGATTGAAACAGGAAGCGCAACAGAAACGAAAACGATGGATGCTATAAGAATGATCGTGGTCAAAAATCGCTGTTCTTTTAAAATCCTCATTACTTGATTTCTACTCGCAATCGTTTGGGTGGAATTTTGTTGCGAAATATTCTTTGATTGTTTCTTCAGTGCAAAATACGATCTATTATACAACCCCACAGCAAACACAATAGTCAAACTAATCAAGCAGTTCCTAATAATTCCGTCTTGTCCTGTAATACCAAATATCAACTGTGTGAGAAAATAGACGGCTCCCAAAAGCCAAGTGAGGGCTATCCATCCGGCCATAAGTTTCCCGCCCATCATTAAACGATGCCTTATCGGATGGCTGATCATAATATAACGATCTAAGGAAATTGAAAATATCGTTATAACAGAAACACAGTAACTTGCGCTGGTAACATATTGTAGAAACCCGGATTGATCTGTAGCACTTAATGAAGCAGGTCCGAGAACACACACGAGAAAATCAGACACAGCTAGGCTAGCGACAAAATAGATTCCTGAGGTTCTGAAGCATTTTAGAGGATCTTTAATGAAAGCTGCCAACAGGAATATATGTGAAATAACTCCAAAGAGACAGATGATATACTGTGGGATATAAGTGTAGCTGAAATTGAAGTAACTTTCTTTTGTGTTATTCATAATGTCCTGTTACCTTCTTTAAATTTAACTAACGCCGGAGCGAAAACGTACACACATCACGTATGTAATAATCCTTTCAGTTATTAAGAGTTCATTTTATATTTGAAGTAATTATTAGAACAACTTTAATTGAAGATATTTTAATATACGGTAGAAGTGTATTTTTAATATGATACTAAAAGTAATACTTTTTAATTACAAATAGTGATGTTTATTTGTAACGCACACAATTGCTGTCTGCCATAAAATTGCTCTCCTCGTTTGAGTTGGTGGACATCCTCAGTGCTTCCTCATACTGCTGGTAATTTGTTTCCTACTGAACTGAAACAGATCTTTCCTCTGCGACTAAAATCATTTTCAAATGTGTTGGCACAGATGCCCGAACTACCTGTTATTTTGAAGAACCTCCGCTAGACCGCCTCGACCCCCGCTCCCTCCCGCCCCCTTTTCAATGTTGTCTCTAGTTAATTAACATCTTACTTTGGTGTGCTATACCATAGATATAGGAGATCTAGATTGCTAACGCATACCTAGCGCAGGCGGGGCCTACATGATAAATCCAAGATGGCGGTACAAGAGGGCAAAAAGACTATAGATTCTATTACGAAAATCAAGATTTTTGCATTTTTTGCCGTC